AGCAGCAACAGCGTGAGGCAGAAGTAATAAATAAGAATCAATTTAAATTGTAACAAAACATAATGATAATCGCATAACAAAATTAGAAACGACTTTTATCTTTCCTGAGTCTTTTATATTTTCTAAAAATTTCTATGCAAATATTAAGATTTATATCTGGCAACACATAATCTCATTTCCTTTATTCATTTCTTCTTATTTTTATTATCCAATTAAAAGCAAGCTTATAATCTGAAGATTTAGAGAGAGATAAATGGATTTTTCTAGAAGAATAGATAAGTAATTATCACTAAAACAAAGCGAAAAAAACTCACGAAAAAACACTTAAAATTATATAATACTTAAAATTATTTCAGACAAAGTGGAATTACGATTAAAAATTAAAAAAACTAGCGTTAAGTTCATAAATGAAAACGATTCTTTCAGGTCCTTTAATGGTTATTTTTTACAACAAATTTAAAACTAGATAATTACCAAATGTTAATGTCCATTATACTTCTTGTACAGTTTTCTGTACACATTCGTGGTTTCAAGCTTCTAACTCTTATATTTTTTCTCGGAAAAAAACAAAATGCAACGTAAAATAAAATAAGTTGGCTAAAAATTTACAAAAAAAAAGCTCTTAAAATTACAAATTTTTCGAAAAAACTCGTGCTAACTTCTCGCCAAATTTCCTCTTTAGCTCGCCAAATTTCAAGTCTGTAGTTGCATTCTTTGTGGTCTTCACTACAGCCAGTACGGTGATTTTTGCTGTAAGTTTTACAGCTAATAATTCTCTAATCGAATGTTGAATTATTTTATTCCATCCTACTTCCTATGCAATTTCGTAATTTCAAGATTCTAAGTTTTACATTTCTTGCGCACCAAAACAAAATTTAACATTAAATTAAACACCCAAAACAGCGAAAAGGAAATGTTAAGCTTTTTGAAATAAATAAAAAAACGTCATTAAAAAATATTGAAATATTTTTCTGTTTTTAGTGTTCATCTGTCATAATATGCACTAGCAATAGTGGAAGTAAAAATTATATTCGTTTTGTTCTTTGCAGAAGAGGAATCGAGCATTCAAGTGCTGAAAGTCACAGATACGAGCGTGAAATTTAAGATTGTTGATGAATTAAATGATGGGAAGTATTCCCTGAAATACAGTGAAATCTATGAGAAAACAATATATTATTATAGATTTAATGTTACAGGTACATGTTACTGTTCTATATTGTTATTTTATTGAATGCTGTTATCATTCTATAGTGCATTGCAGAGGTATTGTATATTAAAAATGTAAAATGTAAAGAGAGGGTAAATATGCGGAGAACACGAAGGAACTAAAAGGAATTGCTCTTACCAAATACGTATTTGCTGAAATTATACCCATCGCGTGTCACACTTCTTTTTTAAATTCGAAAAATATGAAGAAAAAAAAGAAAAAGGAAAAATTCTTATCCCATATATTACAGATGCCCATGTAACTCACATTTACATGGGATATTGTGTGCGTGTGATTAGTGTATGTCATCACACTATATGTTATTACAAATTAGCCATGTACTGTAATCACATATTAAAGAAGCGTATGTAACTCAAACTATGGAATAGAATATTGTAAAAATTAAAAATTAAACTGCATTGATACACTACTGTTTTATTGACGATATCTTAATATAATATCCTCCAGGAAAATATATTACAGAAGAGCATGTAACCTACATTCCCATGCACTGTAATACTGCAACCACATGTTAAAGTAGCCCATGTAACTCAAACTATGGAATAGAATATTATAAAAATTAACAATTAAACTGTATTGATACACAGTTTTAGTGACGATATCTTTATAATATCTTCTCGCCAAATTTATTACTGTAGAGTATATAACTCACACTTTCATTGGATACTGTATATGGGATTACTGTATGTTATCACGTTATATATGATGACATTTTAGCCATGTATCACTTATTACAGTAGCCCATGTAATTCACCTTATGGAATAGAATATTATAGAAAAGAATAAATGAAAAAATAATTTTACGCAAATTCATAGCTCTTTTATTGACGAAATCTTAATATGATTGTCGTCCTAAACCAGCATCCAGTTTATTGGATAATTTTCGGCACAAAAAAAATAAGATATAAAAAATTTAAAAAATATATAATTGCTTTAATTGCATACCTTAATAAAGCGATTAAATATGTAAAAATATAAGTAGGCTCTCATATGTAGGATTTTTTTTAAAAAAAATTTATGAAAATTATTAGGAAGGTTAGAAATTTCATTCAAGTAATATTTTGGACAGTTTTATGACACGAAAATATCTTATTATTTGAGTTTAGGGAATTTTGTTTCCTGACCAAAATGTGAGGAAATATGTCATATAAATATCATAGACAGTGCAAAAAATACTAAAAATTACACTTTATAGTTAATTATAATTTTTAAAGTTAACTGAAATATAATAAATTTCTAATGTAGACAAACTGACAAATTCATTATTTTTGCGATCTGTAGAGATCGTTACAGCGTAAGCAGAGCAAGTTGTTACGCGTAAAAATAATGATTAACAAAGCTCATTTTTGTCAACTTTATTCAACTCACAGTTCTTAAAGTTGCTCAAATAAGATGAGTTTTTGACCTAAAGAATTTGCCAGAAAGATTTCTTATTGTTTATTTCTGTAGAGATAATCACAGCTTATGCTGGATATTTAGTCACGCGTAAAACTAATAATAAATACTTGTAGTGTTTAAAGTTAACATTTTCTCTTTATAAATAGAATAGGATGCGCGATTTCCCCACTCTCTGTACTTTTTCCCTCTCCGTTACCATGATTCCGACAACATTTGCTTTTTCTCCATGACAGTACGTTTCAGTTAGAAGTACTTGAGTGGGGGAAGACGCAAGAGAGTTATTGAAACGATTGCAATGGAAAGGGGAAAATTGCGGAGAGAGGGGAAATCACGTAATCTTGAGACGTCAATTCTATTTATAAATTCTTAGCATATTATAGTGCTACCGCTATGAAGTGCTATCTCTCAAAAACCATCACATATTAATATTTTTTCTCCATTACTTAGACAAAAGTAAGGAAATAACCATCAGTGGATTAACACCCAGTGGTCTGTATAGCTTCAATTTTTCTCGAGGAGCGAGGGGCGAAGAAAACAAAGAGTGGACCTTGAATCTGACTGTAGTTCTTTTACCCGCCAGACCAGAGGTCATATTCCATAAGCTGAATGATGGCATCTTGACATTCTCTTGGTTTCGAATATTTGATGACTTCGTGAGGAAAACCATCGACAAATACATTTTGACCTACACTAGTGTAAGTATTGTGGGGACAGTCGACCGTCATCCCTCAAAAGATACCTTCTAATAGAATCGAGTTAACATGTATTACACACCAGTGAATGTGAATGGAATAACTGTAGTTATACTAGATTACTCCCTCGCCACAATCTTATCTGATATAGAATTTGATCAATGGATATCACTAGTTAATTCATTGCCGTTTTGCGAGAGGCCTGAAGAGCTGAATTAAGTTCACCGGGCTTTGAGGTCTGATCGTGAGAGCTGTATTAAGACCACAGTTGTGGGCGTGGTCGCTCATATGTTGCAATTAGCAGTCAAGTGTGTGTACAGGCCGCCGTTGTGTGTGATCGAGACTGAGCAGCAACAGCGTGAGGCAGACAATGTCGCAGTCATAAATAGCAAGTTGACTGATCATAATGTTCCATCCATCGAACTAAGCATGTTTGCATCGAGGTGGGCGTTTCTGTCTCGGTAGGCGTGTTCCTATCACATTCGAAAAAGGAATAAATGTGGGGTGTTGGTTACCGCCAATGTCAACCGTCATCTATTAAAAGCTACCTCCGTGTGGAATCGAGTTAAAATGCTTTATATACTAGTGAATTTAAATTGAATAATTGTAATGATAGTTACGCGTGAGTACTATTCATTGAACAATTAATCATTGCAATGAAATTGAGAAGAAAAATAACAACATTTGTTCTCATTTTGACGCTCTTAGAAGTTTATACGACTGAACTTAAATGCTTTAGTTAATTAGTGCTAACTATCAATTGAGTAGCGAAATCAGACACAAAAGTGTACAGATATCATGTGTCATACATAAGTGTAAGTATAATTTTAATTACTAAATGAAATTGTTCATCGCAGTGTCTGATTTATCATAAGGCCTGGCCAAGTGATCCATCCATTTCTGGGGTCCCCTAAGTGTAACAAAGAATTTTTTTGTGTGTATTTCCTTAAGAATAGTTTATTAGAATTATGAGTTAGCAAAGATCGAAATAGATATAAGCTCAAATTTACTAATATATTATAATTTATTTATGTTATAAATAATTTAAGGGGTCACAGTACCCAAAAAATGACAAAAATACCAAATTTTTTTTTATTGCTTATAATAAAACTTCAAAGTATTTCAAATGTACAGAAAAAAATTCATCTCTCTATCTACATTTTTAAAAAAGTTATGAATGATTTTAAATTGTTCTAATACAGAAACTTGCTCAGCAGTCTGACTTTAAAGTGCTTTTTCGCATAGATGATAATTTTGTGTCTTAATCTTAATTAAATCCCTAAGGAATTTTTTCTATTTAAGATAAAGCTTTGAAGTAAACTTTTTTATCTTGAGTATAATACACTTATTTAAACTGTGCATGGAATAAGCATTTTATGAGGTATTACAATTTTTACAGCATGTTATATATACCTAACAGGAATTTTTACCCTTTTTTTTCTACTTTTTTACAAAATAATCTATAAAAAATATTCTAATTGATATATCAACAAATGAATGCACAAAATTATTAAGATAAATATTGCAAGCACTATGAAAAAAACTTTTTTTGAAAATATGTTAAAATAAAAAAGCCTTAGGGATTTAAAAATTTAGAATTTTTTCAACTTTTTTTAAAATTTAAAAAAAATTAAACAGTTTAATTTCTTTTTGAAGATAAATTATTGATTATAACTTAAATGAGCATGTAACGCATCCTCAATGAATGATTATACCTTTATTTTAAAAAATTGTTGCAAAGGTACTGTGACCCCACTACAAAGCACTACACTATTATACAACGGATAAATTTTGTTTAAAGTAACAACTAGGAGGCCTCTATCAGTTCTGAAACTAGGGCCCGGCATTTCTGGATCAGGCCCTGACGAAAATAATGAGTACCATTCACATCAATGAAGTTATCCAAGAAAATAAATGTCAGCCTGAATAATTTTGATTCTAAATCTCACCAACTAAGTTCTCTTAATTGTTCTAACGATTAGCCTAAAATAATTAATTAATTCTTCATTATGAATTAAGTTAGGATATCAGACACAAAAACGCACTTTTACTGAATAAACTTACCTTTATTTCAGCGGATTTAGAGGGATAGTCTGGTTGGCAGGGTGGTGGACTCACGTTCGTGAAAACGGGAGTTGTAATCCAGCAGGCCGAAGACTCTTCGTGTAGTAAAATGGAGACTGGAGCACGACAAGTCTGTCGGGTTACAAAGTCCTCCATGTTCCCGTAACAAATTATACCTCTAAGGGTTATGAATTCTGGATTGATCGTTCTCTGGTTCAGGTTAAAATTACGATCTGTGGATGAATGAATGAATGTGCGAATGGGTCCGCCCTATAAACAGGTGTGACGTATAGGTGTGGCAGAATTCAGATTCTTGGCCATAGGTGGCGCCTCTGGAAAACATGAAAAATAGCACCATTTTTCCTTAATGGCCTATGACAACAAGAACAACAACGGATTTAGATTTTGATAATCAAGATATGGTGGTTAGTCGCAATCTAAAAAATATAAACCCAAAAGTTTAGTCGGGAGAGCAACCGATTGTTTGGGGTACGTGATGTAATTTTCACCTAATGAATATTTCGCCAAATCGACAGAGCTAATGAAAAGAATTAAAAAAAAATTCGTACCGAATTATAAAATTCAAATCTATGCTGATTATTCCATGCTAAAAATTAGATTTAATAACTATTTACTAAAATTTTAATTAATAATAAATTAAAAAATTTTGAAGTATGTGAACTTTTACATCTGTTTATCCTTTCTAAATAAAATTTGAAAAAGGAACTCAATGGTCAAATAGTTTTTGAGAAAGAAAAATTTAAAAATATTTTTTGAAACTCTTACTCAGAAACAATTTTATCGATTTCGATCCAATTTTGGAATTTGTGATTTAAACATATTTCCCATTTAACATATTTTTACATAATTTGTGATTTCGCCATATTTGTCAATTGAAAATTAAATATATTCGGGAAAAAAATGTGTTTTTATATTAATCAGAGCTATTTTCAATTAATATTAAAAATAATGAGACCGGTATAGCCTGGTTGGTAGGGAGCTGGATTCTCGTTCATGAGAACGGCTGTTTTAATGCAGCCGGTCGAAGAATCCCGTGTAATAAATGGTGACTGGTGCACATTAAATCAGTTGAGTCACAAAGTCCTCCAAGTTCCCATAACAAATCAATACCTCTGGGGATACTGAATTGGAGTATGATCGTTCTCTTGTTCAGGTCAAAATTATAATCTATGAGGAATGAATGGGTCCGCCCTAAAAACGTGTGTGACATATGGCTGTGGCAGAAGTCGAATTCTGAGCCCATAGATGGCGCTACTGGAAAACAGGGTCAATCGCACTCCCAGTGCTTTAACGGCCACCGATAACAACAATAGCAATAAAAACAATGAGAAATATTAATTGAAAATTATTGTTTAGATGGAATTTCTTTGGTTAAACGATTTTTGTAATTTTGTGTAAGCAGAAATCGATTACTTGTGTTTAAATTTTGTATTCTGTCAGTTTGTCATTTAAATTATTTTTTTTTAAGTTGCATAAAATTTCTTGTAATTCAAAATTTTGTGAACATTGTTATAAAACGTGAAAATAATTAACTCCTAATTATTTATGACATAGTACTAAATAGAGAAAAAAAGTGTATCTGAAAAAAAGAAACGATTTTTAGATTAGGAAAAAAAAGTTTAGGTTGTGCTTAAAAAGTTTCCAAAAAATTGGAGAATTGCTCAAAAAGTATAATTAACATTAAGTGATCAAAACTTATTACCTCTCCTTACCTATTTCCCAGATTACGGCTACCTTATTTTGAGAGTAGAATTAAAAGGTATCTTTATATTCAGAAAAAGTACGTTTTTGTCCCTGTTTATTATGAAATAAACAGGGATAAGTGTAAGACGATATTTGAAGTTATGAAACTCAAAATATCGTCTTACACTTATTAATTTGCACTTTTACTGTTGGAACCCTGAGCTATTAAGGTTGAGTCTTCGCACGTGAAAATCTGATAATTTGGATAAACCCCAGATCACCCAGGACTGAAGGCAAGTGTTCCGGAAACTAAAGGCAGGAAGAGAGTCCAAATTTAAGGAAAAAAATTATAATACTATCAACGGTAGTAAAAAGAGTAGGCTGCCATAAAAATGACTTTCTGTATGAAAAAAATTTGAAATCGATATTTAAAAGGTTAAAAACATTGTTTATTAGTTTTTTGTCAATGAACAGCACCATCTGTTGACAAACTTTGAAACCAATTTTAAAATTCTATGAGGAAAAAATAAAACTGGTTCTGCTTTAGTGACATACAGCTAACAGTATATTTCTACTTCTCTCCATTTATCTTTCATAGATTTTTTAAAAAATCATTCACCATTACAGTGCATAAAAGTGCTATCTCTCTATTATGCTCTTTGTAAACAGAATGGGTGACCTCAAGGTTGCACAATTTCCCCTCACCAGAATTATGGTTATATGACACATCTTGCGTTTCTCCCACAACATAATGTATCAATAAGAAGTTGGAATGTAACGTGTGCAAAATAAAAAACAGGCTACCTTGAATAGTTTTTGATCTAATGATCGGATCTTCACATCCTAGGAATCAATCTTAATGATTTGAGGATGTGACATCGAATATGCTAAATAATTTGTAATGACGATATTTTAAGTTACGAAATCAGACACAAAAACGTACTTTCTCTGAATAAACATACCTTTCTTGCGACTGATTCGGATTTTTGACACCCAAGCTAGGAGAGTAGCAGCAATCAGGGAAAAAGGGTCCCCATAGTTTGGTCAGGAGAGCGATTTAAAGTATAGACCCCTTAATGTTAATTTAATTTTTTGCGCATTTCGCCATATCTCAAGAAATGTTTGCCACATCTTGAAAATAAATCCACGCAATAAATTAATGTTAGTAAATATTTACTATTTTCTATTATTTTATTTAGCAATAGTCGAAAGAATTTTATAAAATAAGAATAAGAGAAAGGTATAAAATTTTTTACATTCTAAAGTATCTAGATTTACATGGCGAAACACAAAATTTGAGTGAAATCGGCTGAATAGTTCCTGAGAAATCGAATTTTAAAAAAGTTGTACATTTTAAATTTGATTTCTCACGAACTTTTCCACAGATTTTGCTCAAATTTTGTAAATTGCTATGTAAAATCAGATACTTTAAAATGATGCAAGAATTTAATGTGCCTTATAAGTCAAAAATTTTACGACCATCTTTAAATAAAATAATAAAAAATAGTAAATATTTATTAAAATTTATTTTTTGCATGGATGTATCTTTGGATATACGAATTTTATAATTGTGTGCAAAGATTTTTCAATTCGCTTTGAAACTTCGCGAGATATGGCGAAATACGCAAAAAAATAAAATTAACATTAGGGTTTCAACTTTGAATTTCTCTCGTGATCAAACTATGGGGACCCTATTTCCCAGGTTGAGGCTACCCCTTATATTTTGGGGGTGAAAAATCTGAATCCCTTGAAAGAAAGGTATATTTATGTGTCTGATTTTGTAATTAAAAATATCGTCTGGGCTAATTAAATGGTATATTCGAAGTCCCCCCCCCGCTTTTGAGCTATTAAGATTGAGTCCTAGAACGTGAAGATCCGATCATTAGATCAAAAGTTACTCAGGGTGGTCCGTTTTTAATTTTGCGCACTATATCTGCATTAGGGAAAAGCAAAATTTGCCGAAACTACGGAAAAACGGAAAATTGCAAAGAGAGGATCAATCGCGTGAACTTGAGACCTTTAGTCGATTAACAAAGAGTAAAGCAACTTTCTTTCCCCCTCCCCCCCAATGAAACCAGACGTTTGCATGAAAGTAATTCTGTTTCTTATTATTTTTTCAGGTAAGCATGGTTGGCGGAAGATCTTGGAAATACAATGAATGCCACGCCACCATTGAAATACCAGTGTGCTTTGGTTCCCAATACACACTAGCCAATCTCTTTAGCAAACAATGGTATGAAATAAGTCTCACAGCTCACACGTCAGCAGGATATGGAGAACCTTTCAAAAACAAAATATATATAAATTAAATTTCTCATTTTTGTACCATCTTTCAAACTCTTAAATATTGTGCATATCTCTTCCTTTTTTTATCCAAAAATTGGAAATTGGAATTTTTCAACTTACTTTTATCTTATGCAAATATAAAAAATAAAATTAGCTTATAAAACTGACTTTAATCATTTGTTGTTCGAGTTATTATTTATTTTTTTAATAAAAAGAAAAGTTTCGGTAATATTTTCCATGTTCCAACCATGGTCCCAAAAATTTTATTGAACATTTATTTCAGTTTCTTACGATAAATGAATTTTTGCTTTACACAATGGCGGAGAGAGTAAAAACTCTGATATAAACTGGAACAATTTACCAAAATGTTTTGTTGGTGTAAATGTAGCTGATATTTAAAACAAACGATTTAAAACGAATCGCAGCCAGCAGAAAAGGGCACTTTTAACACAAAGTGGATTCATTTTTAAAAAGTTATGTGTTATACTATAAGTGCTAAAAATTAAAAATACGGCATATAAACGCTAAAAATACAGTTAAACTAAAGTCAGTCGCTTCCACCTATGTATTTATATTTTTATAATTTCTTACTTAATAAGGGTTAAAAATTACTAAGGTAACTCTTGTGATATTTCTAAATAAAGAATTGGGTACTTGCACCTCAGGAAGAAGATCTCCCATACCCACACATGTAACCTATGAAGTCAGAGCCAGCAAATCTTTATCAGCCAAATGACGTATGTGTATGCATACATATGAGCCAAGTTTCTCTACATAAGTTAGAATGTTAATTAACGATAAGTTAATTAAATACAGAACCGTATCGCGCGTAGAATTAATCTACTAATAGTCTACTTCTTTTACTTAGATTTGCGTAACCATGATATATTTTTGTTTTGTGCTCCTGGCAACTTCGAAGCATAATTAGTATGTTTATGTTCCACATGGCTTAGTGCCTGTCTTTGTGTTAAGTCTCTGTGTAAATATATAGAGAAATTATTGAAATCTTTGCGAAAGAATTTTTATGAAAGACTTTAGAATGTGTCACTCAAGAGAATTGATACTTGACTGTCTTGGCTTATTCGAAATACAATGGAAGGAACAGTTGCTAACGTAAACAAATTCCCACTTTCAACAACCAATGAAAATCGAGATACCCACACTACGTCACTTGCAGGTATCCCCTTTATTTCAAATGTTTCGCGTCTTTTCAAAGTATGTCTCAGAAGTTGACAGCAATTTTAGGGTGCTGCACTAATTTATTTGCTGACCCTCTTAACGTATATGGGATGAATTCACAACGTAACTCTCAAATATATTTCAAACTTCTTCTCACAATGCAATAACACCTAATGGAAATAAAGTAGTTGATGAATGTACACATCATAGCAACAAATAGCGCTTGTCTTTATTTCTTCCTTTTTATTCTTTTACGAGATGTGTACATTTTTGCCCTAGTTCATCTATTACTAACAATAGATTGGATTTTACGCTTAAGATTTAGTGGTTTCGATAATCGATTTTATCTGTAATCCTGAATATATATTTTTTCTCTCTCTGTTATTTTGTAATTTTTCTTGTCTGTCTTGATCAAGACTAATATATAACGTTCTTTAAGTTGATTGTTTACAAATGAAGAGAAAACAAGCTATTAGTTGAAAGAACAATTTAAAACGCCTCTACTGTTCTTTTGGCTTCGGGCACAACCCTACGACCCTCTCTGGACACAGTCTGAACAATTAATCTCTCTCAACTTTTTCGATGAATTCTCTTTTCTCCTCTTCATCATCTACAGCAGTGGTTTCCAAACTTGATGTTACTACGCCTCCCTTAAAAATATTTAATAATTTGGCGCCCCCCCCTGAAGATTTCATAAGATAAAAGCACAAACATTTTTACTCTTATAAAATTTATTCATACAAACTAATGGAAAACGATATTTTATTATTGTTTTTAATGAGATGGATGTGCTTGTCTATTAGTACAAAGTTTATCAAATCTTGGTGTTTGTGACGATATAGTAGCTCTTTTCTACAACTAAACGAGCTCGATATTTGGATTTCATTGCAGCCAAGGCTGAAAATCCCGTTTCGCATAAATCTGATATTGCGAACGGCAGCAGTACTTTCAAAGCTTCGTTTGACAAAGTGTTATATTCTGTATGAAGATTCAACCACAATTAAACCAGAGATACAGTCTGAAATTTATGTTTTAATGTAGAATCACAAGATAATTCAATAAATTTTTCTTTTTCAATACTTGTCAATCCAAATTCATCATCTTCCTTGTCGATAAATGGATTCTGTATCCGCGCAAACTTTGTAAAATCAAGATCACCAAAATAATTCGAAAATTGAAGCAACAAACCATTCAAGTGTTCCACAAAGAGATTTTTGTGTGCTTCTATGTTATCTCGAGTGCATAAATTTAAACGTGGAAACATGTCAATCTTATTTTTTTGCAAATTTGATTTCCATAGCTCCACTTTTTTAATAAATGCTTCCACTTTGTCTTTTTGTATAAGCAAATGCATTTGAGGTCCTTGCATTGATTTATTAAGAGCACTCAATTTTTCAAAAATGTCAACCAAATATGTAAGTTTAACGATAAAATTATCATCCCTAAACATATTGCCGTCTTCTTTATGATTTTCCTCGAGAAACATAGCAATTTCTTCTTTGAGTTCAAGTACACTTTGAATCACTTTTGTACGAGATAGCCAGCGCACTTCACAATAGTACAGAAGTGACGTGTAATTAGCTCGCATATCTTCACACAGTTTTGCGATCAACCTTGCTTTTAATGGACTGTTTTTTATGTAATTTATAACTTTCGTTACTTTTGCAAAAACATTGTTAAGTTCCTCGCTTATAGCTTTTGATACGAGAGCTGCTCTGTGGAGCATGCAGTGCTTCCAGAGAACCTCAGGTGTTTTCATTTTAACTAGTGTTTGAAGACCAGTTTTGTGTCCCGCCATTGATTGTGCACAGTCAGTACAGAGCCCAATGCAATTATTCCACATTATGTCGTTCTCATTAAAAAAATCTGTCTATTATTTTGAAAATTTCATTGTATGTGGCTCTGTCAGGAATTGGTTCGCAAAATAAGATATCTTCAATTATATTAGTATCGTCAACATATCGAACATATGCAATTAAATGTGCGTCTTTAGCTACATCAGTAGCTTCATCTACTTGTACGGCGAATTTTGAAGTACGCATTCGTGAAACTAATTGGTCACAAAGATCTTCAGATATATCATCAATTCTTCTGCCAATTGTATTATCAGCAAGCGGTATTTGTCGCAGCTGATTCGCATAAGATTGGCCAAACATTGTTTTGACCATATGGCTGCTGGCAAAACTAAGGTTTCTGCTATTGTGTGGGGTTTTTTACATTGCGCGATTCTGTACGACACTAGGTATGATGCTAGTAATGCATTTGATGGAATATGAACAATTTTTTTGAAATTTTGCTTGTTTTTAGATAACTCATCCAATTTTCTTTGAAAAAATTCTTGGGGCTTACCAACGTATTCAGAATGAATAGTTTCAAGGTGCCGTTTCAATTTGCCGGGTCTCATACTATCAGCGGCCAAAACTTTTGAACACAACAAACACATTGGTTTTTCCACATTATCGTTAATAATATTAGTAAATCCGAACGATAAATAGGATAAGTCGTATTTCCTTGTCTTGGGAGTTCTTCCTTCCTCTTCCTTGTGGCTGGTATTCCCACTACTTGTGCCAGCATCAGAATCTTCATTATTAGTGGATTTTCGCTTATATCCTATCAAAAACTTATCCATTTGTCTGGAAATATTAGGAATAATATTATATTATTCTAAAAAAATGAAACAATTAAATTACTTATTATTATGATCAGTGAGCAATCTCGTCAATAACAATAGAAACACAACCTAACACTGCTGAACCAATTAAATATTAGCTGTGACACGAAACAAATTGGTGAGCTAAACGTGCGTCGATCTTCTCTGGATGTGTGGCATCAAGTGGCGTTAGTGCGCGCGCATCTGGCTTTTGTTGAGTTGTGTCGGTCGAGTGGCGCTAGTGTCGCCAAATTAACGACGGCCTTGGTTCAAAAGATTTGCCGGGGTCTAGGACGTCTAGGTATATGGATGCTAAGTTACGAAATGTTTAGTTGAACTATGCGCGATAAAGCACGATGGTATTTTTTCATTTATTCTCTCATTTTTTACATAGAAAACTTTAGCAGTAATTTGGAAAATTGTTCACTGTGACTAATTTTCGCGGCTCCCTTTAGACTAGTCCGCGCCTCCCTAGGGAGGCGCGCCTCCCAGTTTGGAAAACGCTGATCTACAGAATGCATGAAGGTTAGGAAGTAACATTAAAACCTAACTAGAATTAATCTGTTGGTAGTGATTACCTCTAACTTCTTGGCTAAGCTCATAACGTGGTGATAGAAAAGTAATATTTTGATTCAGCGTAGACAGATACAGTGGTTAGTTATACCATTAGTAAAGCTTAATGTATTGGTTATACGCCCTATTAATGCGCACTATAATTATATAATATTTAATGCATGCTAGAACATATCATCAAAGTCTAGCTAAGCCTAATAAGGTAGTGTAACATATCATTAATGTGTAACTAAATTTAACGAGGTGGTATTACATATAATTTAGGCTTAGCTGAACCTGATCGGGGAGGTGCAACATATCATTTAGGCGTAGATAAACCGAACGTGGTTGGATAACACATCATTAAGGACTGCAAAGCCTAACTTGGTGATGTAACAGGACATTAAAGCCTAGCTAAGCTTAACGTTGTGGTGTAATATATGATTGTGCCCCAGCTAAACATAACTTGGTAGTGTGACATGCATCATTGCGCCTAGGTACATCTAACGTGGAGCTGTGAGACACATTAATAAGGCCTAGTTATGCCTAACTTTGTTTTGTAACATATCCGTAAGGCTTAGCTAAGCCTAACGTGGTGGTGTAACGTATCATTAAGGCCTAGCTAAGCCTGCCATAGCTATGTAACATATCATTAAGGCTTAGCTTTTCTTTCGGGATGGTGTAGCATATTATTAAGACCTAGATAAGCCCAACGCGGTTGTGTAATATATCATTAAGACTAAGCTAAGCCTAACGTAGTGTTGTAACATATTAGTGCGTTAATGTTTGAACTTTTGTTAGTTGTAGACGCACTTATGCAAGCTCGTCCACGCTTTGCATAAGCAGCCTCAATGGTATGCCTGAAGCACCGCGTTAAAATTAATTCAGCCTTTGTGGTATGTTCCACCACCACGTTAGGTTTAGCGGGGTACTTAAATGCTACAATGCTGCTTAAGGTTAGCTCGTCCTTATTAATACGTACCACACCATTCAGCTAGCTAAGCTTGAAGGATGTACGTACTACTTTAGGCTGTAGATTAGTGAATCATGCAAATAGTGTTGAAAGTTTGTCAGCACGGCGTTGGATCATTTGTCAGCTCAAAAAATGTTTTTTTATTAGGTTTTTAAAAAATACATAAAATGTTTATGAAGGTTTCACATTATATTAAGTTAGTAGAATTTCTATAACACATTTTGTCCGAAAAAGTAAACTAATTGCTGGTTTGTATGATACATCTTTTGAATCAAAATTTAATTTAAAATCAAGTCCGATTCTTTTTATCGCGTTCTTCGAAACCTGAAGAGGATGCGTTGCGATTTTAGTGTCTAGAAACATACACTTTACTTTTATAGCGATTTTTTATTGACATTATATAGTAATTTCTTCGTATTTTTCATTTCCTCATATGTTATATTAATACTCTAGTAATTTCGCCCTATTTTTCTAATTTTAAAAAATACATAATATTTTAGAATTTTGATCTCGCTGTTCCGAGTATTAGATGAAATTGAAATGGCTAGATTAAAAAAAATTCTATTAAAAATATTTTTAAAGAAAATATTATGGTCGCTGAGCGACCTACATGACGGACATTATTGATAGCTAGCCCTAAAGTGATGACGTAACGTATCGTCAAGGCCTAGCTAAGCCAAGCCTAATGAAGTACTGAATTATTGCTAATAAAGACCGTGGATTTAATCCCCACCTCTGGTTTAATTAACAGGGAGACTAAATAAGCTTTAATGTTCTGCTGTAACTTAGTAAACTTCAAATGTGAAAATAATTTTTATTATACATGATTAAATGGAAAAAAAATGAATTAGAGATAATGATAGAATATTCTACAGACATTCTTCATAACCGGATGCTGTATATAATGTTTGGATCTTTAACTTCTATGGCGTATACAGTCGCTTCCGGAACAGGTTTCTTTTTCCTAAAATATATAATAGAATTTAATTCTGATATGAATTTAAAAAATACATAAAAAAAGTTTAATATTAAGCGCTTACTGTAACACAATTATAATATTAGAATTGTTTTTCGGTGTTGCTTTGAAGTTACCATAAAAAAAACTCTCAATCGACAAGCATAACTAATAAAGTTTTAGTAGGTTAGATTAACTGGAGTCGGATTATCCAATCCTTGTTAATCGAGATAATTTTTAATCAATTTAATTTTTTTCTCAGTTTGATTTTGATAAAATAGTTTTTAACTCAATTAATTTTGAAGAACGCTTCCTAAAAATATATTAAGGCTGGTGTTTATTGACCACACTGATAAGTTAAGAGGGCACTGAACGGTGGGAGAAATATTTCATGGCAAAGTCTGTTTCACAAACAAAAGTAGTTTTAACTTTTAAGTATAGAAAAATGAGTTCCTTTAGACCTAGAGCAAACCATGAAGTGCAAGCAAATTATTGTAGGATTACACAGTTGGGAAGCAATCTTGCCTAAATTTGTTTCAGCATTGAAAACTTCATGGTTTACTCTAGGTTTGCACGAACTCTTTTTTCTCTAAACTTTAAGGTAGCTAGGTACTTTATTTACGTCGCTCTAGAGCTGCACAATAGGCTATTGGCGACTGTCTGGGAAGCATCCTTGAGGATGATCCGAAGACATGCCATAGCAAATTTTGATCCTCATGAGAGTTGATGTCTCCCCTGTGGTAGCCCGACGACCTGCACGTGAAGTAAAGCACTTTACGGTAGAACAGTTTAACAAGGACCCATACCGCGCATCCTCGGTCCGTACGCAGGCTGATCAAAGTGGTCAACCACCCGGTTACTAACCGCAGCCAGTGATGTTTGACCTCGATGCTCTACTGGAAACTGCGTCCTTACGATCAGTCCTCTGCAGGACTTTTTTTTTCAACTAGTTTTGTTATTATTATGCAATTATTTAAGAAATTTAAGTTATTAGTTTGAAACATTTTGTTCTTATAAATTCTGTTTAAATTAATTATGAAGGGGGATGTAGCATCTGTCATCCAGTAAGATTCACTTTGAATTGAATTAAAGAGGCTGTGTCACTCGCATTACATTAATTTTATTAAAGAATTACCAACCGATGCATAAATATGCATTACATTAAATTTTAGTAATTCTTGAAGGTTGGAGACCAGAATTCATGTATTCTTCTATGCCACTTTGAAATAATTTGATGCATTTGAAATTTTGATTTACTTTTTGTATTTTTTATTGACAGTCAGTATAGTTGTTTACTTTACATTATAAGTCAATTTTTATATTATAGAGAGTTTCTCGATTTTTGTGTGTGTGTGTGTGAAGTAACCAAAAAATAATTGTGGAGCAACTATTGGGGATTGGCGAGTGGTTGCGAACAGGGTGTTCTGCCTTCTAGTTTTATAAGTACTACACTTATGTAGCTACCAAAATTTTCAATCCATAAATCAAAAACAAAAAAAGAATGTTTTATTCATTTCAAATGATGTGTAGACTGTACCTGTTGAAAGAGAAGTACTCTTGATCCAATCCAAAGTTTTCTGCATCCGAGTAACTTTGAGGTAAGTTCTTACTCAGTGTTTCTGGAAGGAAGGAGGAAAGGACGGAGGCCAACAGACACACCGATCCTATGATAAGGAATGGGATGATCTTCCCATAGTTGCTCTGGAAAAAACAGTGTGAAACAACATCATTGTACTCTGTTGCAAGTTATGAAAAAACCATTATCCCTGTAAAGAGAACCTATTTGCATCTAAGTGCAAGCCAAATGGAAGCCAAGGTTCCAGTTTGGACGCATATCAACATCACCAACTCTTGAAACGACGTTTCACAGCCTTCTCTTTGCTTTCTTTCTTAAATCGTATGAGATGAAAAAATAAAAACTTGGTGAATAAAAAATAATGTTTCTTATTTCCCGTAAAATTATAGTATTATATTTAAATAATACTTTCTGTTCGCATTTAAAGAAACTGATTAAAGAACAATAAATAGTGTTTTTTGAAGATGATTTTCTTCAACGACGAAACAAAAGTAAAAATTCTCTATCTCGCATTTGATTTATTAAGGGTGTTGTCAGCATAAGACGCTCCATTTTCAGTGGTCTAATCAAAGCCAATGCTCTCGTAACATCGTACAGTTGTTTCTTATTCAAGAGCGAGTGTTTTCCTTATTTATTGAAATATGTCGCCAAGTCTAGAGTCTAACAAGACTTCGAATCTGTAACCATTTTTTTTAATAATTCAGTGATATATATCGTTAAAAATATCCCGAATTAAATTTCTGTTTGACGCGTTTAACTTCTTTTAAACTGTTTCTAAATTTTTTAATATTTGTATAGATTGATGACGAAATAAAAGGGAACTATATGCAGTCACGTATGATAACTTAAATCCTATACCGCGATGATCTTTTCTTATTTTGCAACAGAGTATAGTGACATAGACAAATCAAGCATCGTTACATGCAGATGGTACCAGATGGTACGCTTTGCTCGCTCATTGGATACGTTCTTAACGTCTAGCTTTTGTATACTTTTTTGAACACTGAAGTTCCGAAAACTTTTCACTGTAGAAAATTCTAAACCTGTACATTTCAATATTAATTTGAAATTGCAAANCAGGTGATGCCTGGTTTTGTTGGCATTTAGGGCAAAGAGGAAAGATTTTTTGATTTGCAGAAAATGTGAGACTTTTCAGGTGTCCACTGGCCAGTCGGGATAAGCAGGTGTTGGTTTGCCTGTCACCAGGGAGAGATAGAGAGAGTCCTGGTCTTTTTGCTTTATACCAGTAGTGAATAGGTGGAAGCAGCCACTTTTGTTTGTTCTGGGCCTTTTGCCTTGCAAAAAGTTCAAGATATGTAAGCTCTGAGGTGGAGGGGACTGGATGGTGTAGTCCCTTCTTTGCAAGAGTGTCAGCCAACTCGCTGCCGTGGATATCGACGTGGGGCGGGATCCATTGAAAGTGGACCTCAGTGGATCGGTTTTATTGATACATACGTATTAGCGTTTTATATAATATAATTCAAAATAAAATAGCAATAGCATAGCACTTCTCATTTCTGCCAATGAAAAGGAACTATTTCAGTACTCATAACCAACCAACCGTTTTTTTCTCGGTGACAATCGGAGATAGATAGACATATGATGCTCACTACGTGCTCTTGCGCGCCGAAACCTATCAATTGAAACGTATTAGCGTTTTATATAACATGGATTAGCCATATGATGCTCACTACGTGCTCCTGCGGGCCGAATCCAATCAATTAAAAATGAAAACTGTTGCCAGCGCGAGAAAAGAAATATCATCGGTTTTATTGATACATACGTACGTATTAGCGTTTTATATAATATAGATAGATAACGTATTCCCAGGAATTACTACTATGTGTTTGGAGTAGCGTAGCCGATTTTCAAATTTCGATTTATGTTATCATTATAAATATATTAGTATATCAGTATTAGTATATCAATATTAGAACATCACTATTAGTATGTCACTAGTAGTATATTATTATAGCAAATTGATTTGTGTTTGAGTAAGTTCCATCTGTTTCTGCAATGATAAAAGCATGAGAGTCGCAGGGTTCCAGTTTTTGAGGAAGCCAAAATTAAAATACACTGTCACAATAGCTCTCTAAATTTCCAACTTAAAAAAAAATTCCTGTGACTGCTAAATATTTACAAAAAGATTGATTATTGATTATTTTAACTTTGATCAATTCAAATTATGAGGGTTCATAAAAATTTTCTTTATTTGTTTGTAATATTAGGGGTGGAAATTATATCCAGTGTATCTAACATATCCGGTGTATAAATCTTGCGTACTGAAGGTAACGTAAATTTGCGAAATCTCTCTATTATATAGCCTATTTATCGTCAAAAGCATTCTCGTTTTTAAGAAGTTATATCATATAATGCTTAATACTCACAAGATATGCCACAAATGGTGTGAATAGGACGATAATCATGGATATAGATTTTCCAGTTCCGACTCCCAAGGATCTGGCAACGGTAGGAAAGAGTTCGCAACCTTGCTGGTCAACATTCATAAAGAGTCCAGAAGTGATTAACTTTCCTATAATTGAACTGGCTACATCAGAATACTCCACGCCTATAAATGATATCAAAACATATTTAAGTACATGTGGGGAGCTTGAAATATTTTACTTTAAAAATAAAACAATAACTCTAACACTTAGAACACAAAGTTAAAGAAAAGAAATGGCTAGGACTTGATCTCTGGAAAATATTCTGTAAATTAAATATCTATTCTCATTGTGAAAGCCTGGGGTTCGATTCCCGGTGGCGGCTTGAAATAAGAGCCTGGATTAGCTAGATTAAGTAGTGTCATTCTTTTCCACACAATCTTTGAGTCACTTTTGATTTAGATTTGCTGTATCCGATTACATGGGTGAACAGCCGCCATATTGGTGACTATTTTGAACGACGAAGTATCATTGCACCCGATCTGTTACTGTTATTTTCGCTTTTTTTTTAACTTTATTTGTGTCATACTAAATCTAATAATCTTTATTATAAGCTAATCTTTATTATCTNAACAATAACTCTAACACTTAGAACACAAAGTTAAAGAAAAGAAATGGCTAGGACTTGATCTCTGGAAAATATTCTGTAAATTAAATATCTATTCTCATTGTGAAAGCCTGGGGTTCGATTCCCGGTGGCGGCTTGAAATAGAAGCCTGGATTAGCTAGATTAAGTAGCGTCATTCTTTTCCACACAATCTTTGAGCCACTTTTGATTTAGATTTGCTGTATCCGATTACATGGGTGAACAGCCGCCATATAGGTGACTATTTTGAACCGCGAAGTATCATAGCACCTGATCTGTTATTGATATTTTCGCTTTTTTTTTTTACTTTATTTGTGTCATACTAAATCTAATAATCTTTATTATAAGCTAATATTTATTATCTTTATAAGCAAAATGGCGTATTAACCCCTTCCTTCTCGCTCCCGTGAAAATGACGGGGTGAGTTTTCGCTCGCTATTTCTCGTTCCCGTGATATTGACGGGCTGGAGTGTTCAATAGTAATGCGCCAATAGGAATAAAACTAATAATTCATTTCTTTTGCCCAGAAAACATTTTATTTCTCATTTTACACACCAAATAGCAGTACCAGGATATTTTGAAGGTAATTGTAAATAGTTAGTTTATTTTAAACTAGATACTAGTTCTAATCAAATACGTGTATTTGGCAAAATAGACACTTTTATGACCGTTTTCTTGAAAATTTACCGATCGTTAAGGGGTTAAAGTTCAGCTAAGTTTCTCTGCATAAGTTAGAATGTTAATTGACAATAAATTAATTAAATACAAAGCCGTGTAGCACATAGAATTAGTTGAAATAACTTTTACTTAACTTGAATTTATAATTTGTTATGTATTATATTGTAACCGTGATATATTTTTGTTTTGTGTACCTGGCAACTTTTGTGTACCTGGCAACATAATTACTTTAATTATGATCCACGTGGCTTCGTGGCTGTCTTCGTTCTAAGTCCCAGTGTAAATATACAGTGAAAAAATTGAAATCTTATAGAAAGAACCTTTGTGAAAGAATTTAGAATGTATCACTTAAGAGAATTGGTACTTGACGGGTTTGGCTTACTTGAAATAGAATGAAAAAAACAGTTGCTAACGTAAACAAATGCCACGCTATCAATAACCAATCAGAATCGAGATACCCACACTACGTCACTTGCAGGTATAACATTACATTAAAGTGCAACGGGGTAAAAAACGATTAAAAAAAAGACTTGCAGGGTCATCTTAGTTGCAGTTTTAAGTTGGAACAAAGAACTCTGAGACAAAATATGCATATATACGCACATCAATTTGCTGTGAAAGTTTTTTTGAACGTAATTATTTTCCTTTTATAAATTTTTGAAAGCACTTTTTTCGAACAATTTTTATTTTAGGAGTGGAAATATGTTTTGCTCACCCGATAGAGGTAGGAGACAGCAGAGGGCGATGGTGAAAAATCCAATGGTGGCACTCCACCTTCTTCCTATCTTCTCCATGGAATACCAGAAGAGGGCATTTCCAGGTGCCTCCACTAGAGACAGGAGAAAATAGTTCACGAATACATTACCTGCTAAGTGGACCACATTATATTGGAATCCCAAGTAAGCCAGTGTGTTGGCTGTCCTGTTTTTAAAAAAAGTTAAGAAATATAAAATGTATATCTTGTTACGGTTAATCGTATACTTAAATGGCTAAAATAAAAGACAAAATTCCACTTTAAAAAAAAAAAGAACTATGTTACATTTTATTTAAATTTTTAAAAGAAACAATAGAAAAGAGTTATGAATAGCACTTATGGATGATTGACCTTATAAAGCTAAGCACAGATGTCGCTAGGAGTCAAAATTTGTCGTAAGACTTTCGGGTTACAGTTTCCGATTGATTTTTTCGCCTAATTGGTTACCATAACTTACATTACTTGACCCTAAGTCGTTCGCCGACAATCGGATCCGTTTTGTCGGTATCGTGTCGTGCAATGAAAAAGTGCTCTAAGCTTGAAAAAGCGCGCCATCCAATATTTTTGTGCTTGTAGTGTTTTAAATTTAACGCGTTCTTTCAATTTAACTTTCAATTTAACTTTCAACGAAACAAACAATAAATGAATTCGGAAGATTCCGTAAACTTACTATGATGCTACGCAAAAATTAACAAACGGCGCTATTTTACACAAATGTACCCAAATAAGCGATAACACTCAACACATGGCAAACCTTACTCTTTATTTATGTTGCGATATTATTTTTTAAAAAATTTTCTAGGCTCACGGCCTATTAGAACTTATAAATTTCAGAAAACTCTTATAAATGGTAAAATTGCGCACACATTTAAATTCGAATTATAAGAATAAAAATTCCTAGAATATGAAGCCTGCTCACGCATCGCTTCGTAAGCATAGCTATAAGCAGAGGGATACACACACCGAAAGTTTTCTAAATTTCTTCCGGTTTTACGAATCTCGTTATTGTTTACATTCAGTCAACCGTTCATATATCTTTTATACAAAATAAATTATTAAGGAAAAAAATGACCATTTCTTTGAAGATGAGCCTATCGTACCACATCTTCACTGTTTAATATTATGATTATTTTCTTTTTATGTAAAATTCTCTTCACCCTAATTTTTTACAAACTTTTCAACTGCTTCAATCAACCTTCCCTCCGGAATTCTCCTGTTACTCTGTGCCGATGACTTTATTTTATTTTATTTTATAACCGTCGTTGAACAGCTAGTTGAATATTTGGGTTTACGCCTACTAATATTCAACTTTGTAACCTCGTAATTTTGAACCCAATCCAGAAGACAAGGGAACTCTTGGATCCAGTATTCGGAGAAATTTGCCTTCACGGAAGACTTTTTTTGATGGAACTAACCCGCATTTGCGTTACATGGAAAGGAAGACCACGAGAACATCCTATGGTTAGCCTCACGGCAAAGGGACTTTAACCCATGATCCTTCTACCACCGAGGATATTTCACGTCAGCACTGTGGTCGGTGCAAGCTGGATGCGGAATTCGTATCGACCAGTTTTTGCTGGGATCCGAACTCGGTTCACTTCGTTTGAAGGCTCTTTTCCCTGAGCCATCACGGTTCCCTGAGCCTTCGCAATAATTGTTGTTTCTTGGCATAGAAAAAACAGTTGAGCAGTTGAAATTATTCAACTAAAAATACTAAAAAGAACACTTGTGTACTAAAAAGAACACTTGTTCCGCCACTTCCCACGTCCAAATATTTCCCTTATGATACTATTAAAAGATCTATTACTGAACATAAATCATTTTTCTAAGTAATTATTTTTTGAAATAACGTTTAAATTAAAAGTACATTATTATAACAAATTGGGTGAGTTCACAATGTAATTTAAAATTTTCGCTTACCAAACGGACGGATGCATTTCAAATACAATTTTTGCATTCATCACTTTGTGCATGAAGCTGAATGTTAGGTTCTGATTCATTTAACGAAGCTTTTCAACAGTAACTCATAATTTAGAAAGCAAATAAAGTCAAAATCGCAATAATAACAGTACAGGTTAAGCATTGGGAAAGACCTTTTTATCAAATCAAGAATATCTTTGTAAAAAAGGTATTTATTTCCGCAACCCGGAACTAATTATAGTAAAGCAGTAGATAGTTTGATATTACGTTTTGGAATAGATGATCTTCTGGTTTAAGAATATGTTAGAGAACTAATTAAATTAGTATTTTCTGTGCAAACAAAGGGCATTTTCTGGCACTTGAAAGGGCATTTGAATCGAACAGGCGGACTCTTGAAACTTTGGGAGTTACTACAGATAAATGAGGCTCAATTTTGTATCTTATGGTTGAATCCTGCTTTCCAGAAAGAAAAAAACTCTTAAAAGCATGGCTTAGGAACAATGCTTCTGTTGCACTAACCGAAGTGAACGAGCGTTTAAACAATTTTATGAATTTCCTTAAAACTGAAGTAGAAGGTGAAGAAAGGATATCATTGGCGATGAGAAGTTTTGGTCTTAGAACAGATGAAGAAAAGAAGATAAATGGAAGGGAAAAAACCAGACTTAAAAGTTTCCATGTACAGAACACCGAACTGCCGCTGGGTTACTAACTGCAGCAACACAAGAAAGAAATCCTGCGATTTTTGTTAAGTAAAGCAGCACTCTAGCCCAGACTGTTTTTTAACATAAGAAAATGAGTTTAGCTAAGAGACAAAATGTTTTAAAAGATAATGCTTCTGCTTCTTATGTCTTACTTATGACCACAGAGCTTGATTCTGTCGTGCATTCTTGAGATGTGCGATTTGTGGAATTGCCTTGTAATTGACATGCGCCTTGAATGCGCGATACTTCAAAGCAAAAGTGTGCAGAAAAAAGATGAACATTAGCTGTCGTAAACCCAAAAAATTGGGTCGGCTGTTCAACGATGGTTATAAAATAAAATATAAGATCCTTTATGGGCAAAAAGTCTGAAAGTATATATGAAGAACGGTGTTTGAAGAACATCTTGATGGATATAAAGAGAAATCTTTTATTGCTTACCAACTGAAGGTGAGGATTAGGAAATGCTTTCTCAATCTAGGATGTTTCAACATGAAGGAGAAGAAACTTTTGTCCTCTTTCGCTTCTTCTTCTTTGGTATTCTGGAAAAGAAAATGCGAAAATATTATTCTTACTGCAACCCAAACAATCAATAATAGTCATTAAAAACTTTAAATCAGCAATATTCATTAAACATTTTAAATCAATGATAGTCATTGACACATTTAAATTAGTATTTCCTGACAAAAGCTATAAAGTATATGTTACTGAGAATGACCGAAATTGGTTGTTGTTGACTTCCATCGGTGAATGTTGACAATCGCATAGTGGCTTTGGTAAATGTCCGAAATATATACTAGGCCTAGTTAAAAGCCCCTTCCGGTATGCATTTGCCCGTATACCTTACACTGATGCTTTTTTAAGTCCCAGTGCCACTGCCTGGTATACATTTGTCCGGTATGCCCTACATCAATATTTTTCAAGACCAAATGCCATTGCCCCGTATTCCCCAAGTGCCATTGCATGGTACCATTGCTCGGTAACCAGTACTCCGAACACTAATGTTTCTCTTTATCTATCTTCAGCAGATATAAAAATATCGAATAAATATAATATCAATGAATAACTTAATATCAAATCAAATATAACAAATATTTCGAACATTCACCAAAGTGACTATGTGATTGTTGACATTCACCGGGGAATGAAATATGACAAATATTTCGAACATTCACCAAAGTGACTATGTGATTGTTGACACTCACCGGGGAATGAAATATTACAAATATTTCGAACATTCACCAAAGTGACTATGTGATTGTTGACACTCACCGGGGAATGAAATATAACAAATATTTCGAACATTCACCAAAGTGACTATGTGATTGTTGACACTCACCGGGGAATGAAATATAACAAATATTTCGAACATTCACCAAAGTGACTATGTGATTGTTGACACTCACCGGGGAATGAAATATAACAAATATTTCGAACATTCACCAAAGTGACTATGTGATTGTTGACACTCACCGGGGAATGAAATATAACAAATATTTCGAACATTCACCAAAGTGACTATGTGATTGTTGACACTCACCGGGGAATGAAATATAACAAATATTTCGAACATTCACCAAAGTGACTATGTGATTGTTGACACTCACCGGGGAATGAAATATAACAAATATTTCGAACATTCACCAAAGTGACTATGTGATTGTTGACACTCACCGGGGAATGAAATATAACAAATATTTCGAACATTCACCAAAGTGACTATGTGATTGTTGACACTCACCGGGGAATGAAATATAACAAATATTTCGAACATTCACCAAAGTGACTATGTGATTGTTGACACTCACCGGGGAATGAAATATAACAAATATTTCGAACATTCACCAAAGTGACTATGTGATTGTTGACACTCACCGGGGAATGAAATATAACAAATATTTCGAACATTCACCAAAGTGACTATGTGATTGTTGACACTCACCGGGGAATGAAATATAACAAATATTTCGAACATTCACCAAAGTGACTATGTGATTGTTGACACTCACCGGGGAATGAAATATAACAAATATTTCGAACATTCACCAAAGTGACTATGTGATTGTTGACACTCACCGGGGAATGAAATATAACAAATATTTCGAACATTCACCAAAGTGACTATGTGATTGTTGACACTCACCGGGGAATGAAATATAACAAATATTTCGAACATTCACCAAAGTGACTATGTGATTGTTGACACTCACCGGGGAATGAAATATAACAAATATTTCGAACATTNAGAATAGTATTGTTCAATATATATATATATATATATATAATATTGTTAAAACGTAATTTTCAAAAGATTTTAGCTATTCATGATCAATTTATTTATAAAATAACTCTGAAATTGTTTATTTTTCACTTTAACGGTCAATCATTAGTTATTTCAAAGAATAACTAGATAAAGTAGGAAATTTTTTATCTATTACATACTTTAACTGACTTGTCCAGTTATATCATGAAATATCTAGCTATTCTATGAAATAACTGAATTATACACTTTAACGGAAGTATATATCTTTTTCAAGAGTAGTTAAACTAAAGGTATGCAATTACCATGTTAACATTGCTTTTAATTTTCAAACTTACAAGCAAACTACTTGATAGTCAAATTGAAAGTTAAATGTATTCGTAATGACTATGAACTTGTCCCTTTTATCGAACAATTGGGTCGTCTCTTCGTGGCTAAATACGGCAAATAACAATATTTTGGTAATGCAATATTATAATCAGTAATTAAAATAAGGGTGCTCTGCTCACCAATGATTGCTTAAAAGTCGATATTTTCCACAAAAATAAAGAACATTTTGTTAACTGACTATACTATTATTATACTTTTATGTTACGTTTTGTTAAAACTCTTATAAGATAAAATATTACTTCGATTAAAAAAATATTTAATTGTACATAAAAAAATTAATCTTAGGAATACAGACTTTTATCTCTCTTTAATATCTTTTAAGAAACTTCAATATAAATGCTAAGATTTATATCTTTCTACATATAATTTCTCTCTCTCTCTCTCTCTTAGTTTTGAAATGAAGTGAAGCTAGCAAATTAAAGACCTTGATAGAGGTGAATAAAATTTCTTACGATGGATAAATAATAAATAAATAAATAAAATCACGAAAAAAAACTTTCAAAAAATTAGAATTTTGAAGAATAGAAAAACTTTGCATTGAGTTCATAAATAAAAATGGCTCTTTCGACATGTGAGATTTCATCGCTGTAGTTATATTTCTGCGGGCTGTAGAGAGACCCGAATGTTATTGTTTTCTGCAAGTTTAACAATTATTGCTTCTCAAACTTCTATTCTATTCTTTTTACAATTTTTTTCCTGAATCTATTTTTTTTTAATTCTACTTTTCTACTAATTTCTATTTTCTCCATTTTTTTTTAAATTTCTACTTTTCAAATTTCTATTTTTATTTTTTTTTAATTCTTTTTTTTAAAATTTCGTCGTATTTTTTTCTTATCATCTCACAGTTTTCATGCTGAAAAACAAAATATAACATAAAACTGAACATACAAAACAGCGGTGAACCGTTCTTAAGATTTTTTTGCACTTTCTGTCTAAAGTATTGATTTGACTCCTAAAGACTTTTAAAAATTTATAAAATTGGAATTGTTTGGAAATTCAAGGAAAATGTAACGTTTTTACATTCTATTTGAAATTTTCATTAAAAGTTGAAACTTTAAACCATCGTTTTTAAAAGCATTGATGATATTAACGTAAAACAAAAATAGTGTTTTTTATTCAAAAAAGCTGTTTTTTTTCTGAACTGTTGATTACCTAAACATAGCTGTTAAACAATAAGTCCTCTTCGATGCACTTGTTAGAAAGTGAAATGTTTATTACCTTTAGTTTCATTGATAAAGTTTTTTCCTCAATGTTTTTTCCATTTCTTTTTCCAATTAGCATCATTACATTAGTTGCGTCACTATATCTATCTTGAGATACTAGCCAACTTGCGGATTCAGGAACATACCTACAAATATAATTTAGTAAATAACAGTGTCACATCAAACTATAAGCTGATAGTGCTAATAATTTTTCTAAGTTAATTCTATAAAGTAAAAAAAAATGCTAATTTTTAGAGCAGAATAATTTTTTGCTTCTTTTTTATAACCGTCGTTGAATAGCAAATCCAACTACTAGTTTTCAACTACGTAGCCTTGTAATTTTGAATCCAATACAGAAGACAAGGGAATTACTGGATGAAGTATTGGGATAAATTTGCCTTCGTTGAGAACTTTTTGATGGAACTAACCAGCATTTGCGTTACATGGAAAGGAAAACCACGAAGATCTCCCATTCCTATCCTGAGGGCAAGGGGACTTTAATCCATGATCTATTTACCACTGAGGATATTTTAAGTCAGCACGGTGTGAGGCGGTTTCGGAATTCATATTGATTAGCCATTGCTGGGAGTCGAACCCGGTTCATCTAATTGGAAGGCGAACGTTCTATCCCCTGATCCACCACTGTTCAATCATTTGAATTGATTACAGAAGGGAACATTCTTTTCTACTGCACAAAACTTTAATTAAAATTCATTCAATTATCTGATTCATTAAAATTATGTGAAATATTGCATACCTCACAATTCAAAAAATTTTCGACCAGCATTAAATAAAATAATAGAAAATAATAAATATTTACGAAAAGTTCTTTTTTTTTTTGCATGAAATTATCTTTGGATAAATGAATTCTATAAATGTGTGCAAATTTCTTTTCAATTCGCTTAGTAAGTTTTCGAGTTATTTCAAAATACGGAAAAAGTCAAACTTAGGATCGTTCATCTGACCAAACTATTCGGACCATTTTCTTCAGATTACGGCTGACCCCTATATTTTAGGAGTCAGAATTTCAAATCCTTCGAAAAAAAGGTATTCTATAAAAATAAAAGTATTCTAGAAGGTATATTTATTCCGAGAAAATACGTTTTCGTATCTAATTTCGTAAAAGGTATCGTCTGCACTAATTAGCTAACATTTTTCAGGTATCCCCCTCGAACCTTTTAGATTGAGTCCTAGAACGTGAAAATCTGATAATTAGAATCAAAAGTAATTTTGGATGGTCCTTTTTTTTGTTTTGCGATATTTATGAACATCATATATAACAGGGGATTGCGTATGAGCTGGAATCCTCTTGGCAATATTACGGAAAAAACGAAAATGCTATGCGACGGAGGATGCTGGGCGATGAGAGAAGTTTATTACTCAAATGATGTAGGAGAAAATCTAAACATGGTAGTACTTAAATAATTACTATTGTATTTAACTCCTGATGTTTTTTTAGGTCTGACAAAAATAAAAATATTTTTTTCCAATTTAAAACACTTTTGAAATGTATTTTTTAAAAGTGTTATTTTAGTTTTATGTTTATAAGTTCCTACCATAAAAGCGGGAGAAATTTCAAGTGATAAAATCACGAAAAGTTTCGCTCACACCATTTATAAAACACCATTAACTTGAATTGGTGTCATACACTGCCTAAAATGTAAGCACTATAGCTCGTTAGAAAGTGATTAACATTTCAACAGAATTTATCAGACGTTGAATTGAAAAAATCTGCTGTTCAGAAATTGATTGATACTGGTATTGTCATTACGTCATCCAACACAGAACTGCAGTTAAAATTTAAGCATAATAGCTAGTCTGTAAGTGGTCAAAAGTTTCAACAAAGATAAATTTTAGAAACGATAATAAAGATTAATTATACTTTTGATCAGGAAAATATAAAAGCTAGTATTTCTTATCAGTCATAGGATGTGTAGTTGAAATTTGTGATCTCTAGTTAATCGGAAAATGGAAGAAAACTTAGATGAATGAAACACTTTTTTAATGATAAACTATTTCTGCAGCAATCACAATAGCATTGAAACCTTCATTGCCATCAAGTATAAGAGATTTGAGTACATTGGCTAGCTGGAAAGTGGTTGGAGTTGCTAAATTTCTCCTTCACAGATACGAATGGTGCGATAATAAAAATTAAGTCAAAATAAAATAAACGTTTTCAATAAATTTGACATCTTATTTATAAGATTAGTTTTTTATTTTAATAATAATAATTTTATTGGCCTTATCACCTGATAAAATGATTCAGGTTAATAGGTTAATAAAACATTGCAGTTAAACGGAGCTAAATTAAATCAGTTATAAACAAAAAACTTTACTTTAAACAAGAAAATCTTCTCTTTCTACAAGGTCCTTAGCTTAGAATCACTTAGGACCTCAGATTTTCACCCATATTGTTGAAATAAATATATTTTCTGAATTAAAACTTATTATTTTCGATTTACTATCCCTCAAATTTTACACAATTTTGAATTTAATTATCAATGACGTTTAACTTTTATAAGCGCAACGTTAGAGTTTCTTTGAAAAATTTTGCATTTGAAGGTACCGATCAAATAACTTTCTAAAAACTTTTAAGCAAATCTAAATTTATAATAATCTACTTTTGATTTATATGAAGTTTTTGGAAAATTCCTCAAGATATGTGGAGAGTACTACCTTCTTTCCTATTTCGTCATTACGATAAAATAAAAATAAAAAAATATTTTCGAATTTTCAATGACAAAACTTATTTTCAAAGTATTAAATTTTTCTTTTAGTTGTACAACAAATGTTTCGAATATCGTCATCTGTCTAAGGAATGCGGGTAATACATGCAATGATAAATCTAAAGTAGAAAATAAATCCGGCCAACGTATTAATTTCCCTTCTAAAAAAAACCCTAATAATTAATAGGTCCTTTAAAAAACGGCCCAATGTCTTTAAAACTGTGGATGCATGATTCAGATAACAAAATTTTCAGCCAATTATTGTTAATTATTTGTTATTATTAATTATTTGTTTTATTAATTAATTATTTGTTATTATTTGTTTTAAATTATTTAAATTATTTGTTAATTATTCGTTAAATTATTTGTTTTAAAAGATGCAGATTCTGATCTGATTTTTTTCCCATTTTTAAATTTTATTCTCTGCGCCTGCTACTTACATGTGAATAAGTTGAAATAGAATCGCATTGCTTGAAAAGGTGTTTGTCGGTGGGGCAATGAAAGATAGGTGATACTGTTAATTGGCGAAATTTGATGGTGGTTTAGAGTTCAAAATACTGTCTGTTTTAGAATGCCCAGAAGTGGCATCGTTCCCTATTATGAACTGTTTCTTTCTGCTCTCTCTCGTATGCCTGCTTAGGCAGAGGGGTGCGATTATTCTTGTTTCCAGTGGCGCTATCCATGGCCAAGAATTCGACTTCTGCCACACCCATACGTCACAACTGTTTATAGGGTGGACCCATTCATACATCCACAGATCGTAATTTTGACCTGAATCAGAGAGCGATCCAATCCAGTACCCCCAGAGGTGTTGATTTGTTATGGCAATGTTTCCCAAAGTGTGGTACGCGTACCCCCTGGGGTACGGGAACAGTTTAGAAGGGGTACGCGTTCTTATGCGAAATATCTTACAACAAACAAAAATTTCACAACATTTTATTTAAAACCATAGCTAGGCATGAAAATTTACGATTACGTATTTTTCTATTGCCCATTTTTTGCAGAGTTAGCAGCTAATAATTAGTGGTGTCAACAGCCAGTTGTGATTTTTAACTTTTGTGCAATTTTTTTACAGTAAAAAATACATTCATTTTTTTTATCAGTGGTATGCAGCGTTACGAAACATTTAGAAAGGGTACACAAAAGTCATAAGTTTGGGAAACAATGTGTTATGGGAACATGGAGGACTTTGAGACTCGACAGATTTAACGTGCACCAGTCACCATTTACTACACGGGGGAGTCTTCGGTCGGCAGGGTTTGAGCCCATGAGCTCTGGGACACGGGCCCAGCCCCCTATCGACCGGGATATCCCGGCCTTGTGTAAGTCTTAATAGGTAATAATAGGGAAATACCGCTAACCGCGACATTTCCGAGTATATTTTAACTTTTAATCCAGATAATGATGTTCCCTACTAGCCACAAAAGGAACTTGAATGAATTATAAGTTCTATTTTCTTTTTCTTCATTTCTTTTGTGGCAGAAGGAGTAGTAGCGTTTCAATATTCTTCGTTCGTCCTTTTTTCTTATTATGCAAAAAAGAATTTATTTTGTGACCTCAAGATATAAATTACCAAAAAAGCTGGCTTGTAAGATCTTGTGATCTTCTTTGAAGAAAAAAAAAATTAATTTTCAGAGACGAGGCATAATATTTATAAAAGCGGCTTTGCAACCATTTTCTTTTGATTAATACTGCCATGAACGCAAGTGAATTTGAAAACACTGATATAATAAAATGGATTTTTGAAAAAAAAATTGCAATTGGTAACTTATCATACATAGATACCCAATGGATAAAAATCTCAATTTTAAATTTTTTGTCGCTTATGCTGATTTTTCTTTGGTGGGGTAGTACAGTATTTTGATTTTTTACCGCACCAAATGAGACGATGTTAAAGAAATCTTATCAGAAAGTACACAAAACATCGTCTTGTAAGGAAATGAAATGTATTACCTACTTCCAAAAGAGTAAAACTGATGCAGTGCAAATGGAACTGAAGATGCCCAATAGAACCCAACTTCTGGTCAAATATGCGGCCAAAGGTAAAATACACATCCCAGTCATCCAACCACTATTGAAAACTACATTGACAAGGACGCGCTTCTCTGGAGCCATGAATTCTGAAACTGTATTAAGACATGCTTATTATTCTATTGTTATACTGACAAAAACGCATTTCTCTAGAACCATGAATTATGAAACTGTATCAAGACATACTATCGCAAACCCTCATGCCAAGCCCAAAAACTGTCTCCAGATGGCGCTGCTAGCACAGAAAAAAATAATATTTTTTTTTGTTTTCTAAAACTTTCAAGCAGATGTTGTAATGTAACTAGAGAAGCGGCTTGCCGCTAATAACTTGGTTAATCCCTTCATCACCCTTTTAATTATCATGAATTATCTTATATAATGTATATTTATCATTTTTAATATTAAATCTTTTGTCACTCATTGTAGTTAAAACCGATAAAAGTTTATATTATTAAAAAAAGAAGACGGTCCATATAAGGTTTGTGGGAACTTTCCATTACCTCCATATTATACTGAAAAAAACAAGAATGAATTTAGATTGAAAATTTTTTGGCATCCGAGCAGCGACCGCCGTTAAGAGATTTCTTGTTTATTTTCGATTAGAAATTTAGTTTCATTGAATAGTGACTTAAGTGTATAAGCAGTTCGTTTATTGAAATTAAGATGGAGAAATCCAAACTAAAACGTATTATGATAAGGTCATTAACAACTAAGTTATTAACTAAAAATCGAAAACGTATATCAAGATGATAAGGTGACAGTAGATGAATTGGATGAGTCAATTTCTGAATTAATGTTAAAACAAGAACAATTGAAAGAAATTGATCATGAAATTCAGAAGGGTATTGCGGATGTAAATGAAACAGAAACTATGAAGTGTGATGAATATTTGACAAATATTGTACGAAGCAAAAGCAGATTAAAAAGAAAAATAGAAAAACTCTCGACTTCGGTAGTGTCTTCTGAGTAAAATTCCAATGTTTCCGAACCGAAGATAAATACTAATATAAAAATGAATGATTCTATTAAACTGCCTCTTTTAACTATAGAGAAATTTTCTGGTCAGACTGGCAAAGATTTTACGATAAGTTCGAATCTGCCATAGATACTGATTTGTCAAATGTTGAAAACATTTAGTGGGATCAGATGCGATAAAAGGATTCAGTTTAACAATTATGTATCACCAATTGAAACATTAAAATAACGCTTTGGCAAGACTCTCATTTGAATAAATAGTTGAATTTAACCCGAGTAGAAAAATCAATAGATATGTTTTCATTAAGAAAATGTTTTGATTCTCGTCAAACCGAAATAAGGAATTTATAATTTTTGGGAATTAAACAAGAAAATTATGGGGCTATATACTCTGTCCTATACTTATTAAATTACTTCCCTCAGATAAATAACTAAAAAATATAACAATGATGACGAGTGGAAAGTATCAGAGATTCTCGAAATTTTAAAAACGGAAGTGATTAGTCGAGAAAAAACCACGGCCTTGAGTTCGTCTATAACACGAGTTTCAGAATGTTCTCCTCAAAGCGTAGCAGTGGAGCCGAGAATTCGAATAATAAACAAAATAAAAAACACATATCAATGGCGTCAGGTTTATTGATTGAAGCGAGTAATAATAATAAAAAAAATAAGTGTATTTCTTGCGGTAACGATGGACATAATTTATGGGATTGTAACGAATTTAAAATGAAAAAGAAAAATGAGAAACGGGATATATTAAAGAGGAACGGTTGTTGCTTCGTTTGTTTTCGATATGGCCATACGGCTAAAAAATGCAGGAGTTTTGTTAAATGCGATATTTGTTTTCGACGTCATTATACATTTATGTGTCCGGAAAAGAAAACAGATAGTAAAGTGGAAAGAACGGTTTTATTGAATGAAAGCATTGTAAGAAGGTATTGTACGGGTCAGAACAAGAATAGCTATGAGGAAGTATTTGAAAACATTTAAGTATCCTATTGTTCTACCATCTGACTATAATGTCACTCACTGGCGTATACTTGATAAACACAAAGAACTAAATCATGCTGGAACTCATATTGTAATGTCAGTTTTAAGAGAATAATATTGGATCCTCAGATGTAGAAAAACAGTTCAACGAGTGATTAAGAAATGTGTGATTTGCAAAAGATTCAGTGCTCGTCCTACTGTCCTAAGTAGTCCTCTACCTGATGATCGTGTACGAGAAGCATTGATTTTCGAGGTCATTGGAGTGGATTTGTGCGAACCATTCCTTTTGAAGGATGGATGATCGTGTTATTCACCTGTGCGGTTTTCCGAGCCATTCATGTTGAATTAGTTACTTCAACTTCCACGGATTTTCTCTTGGCATGTAGAAGGTTCATAGCACGACGAGGAAGACCAACAACGGTTTTCTCTGACAACGGTACAAATCTGACTCGATCTGCTGCAGATCTGAAATCAGTACACTTCGGAAAACTAAAAGATTTTGCTACTTCGAAAAAGATTCACTGGAAGTTCAATCCTTCCTCTGCACCTTGGTGGAGTGGATTTTTTGAAAGAATGATTGGATCGCTAAAATATTTTTTACGAAGAGTCCTTGGAAGAGCAAACTTTCTCTATGTAGAACTATACACAGTCATTTGTGATGTTGAAAGCATCATAAATTCCAGACTACTTACTACATCTCAGAAGATCTAGAAGACCTGGTACCATTAACACCAGCTATGTTTTTACACGAACTTAAAGAATCAGGAGGACCAGATATTGATCTAATTGATGCCACACGGATGAAAAAACGATTTGCCTATCGTCAAAAAATTCGAGAGGATTTAAGAAAATGGTTCCGAATTGAATATTTAGGACAACTTAAGAATTTTGCCCGCAAAAAGGAAGACTCTCAAGGAGAAATCGTTCTCATAAAGAACGATAATAATAAACGAATCAATTGGCATTTGGGCAAAATAGAGGCTCTCTACCCCTGCAAAGATGGAAAAACAAGAGTGGTGCTCGTAAAAACTCGGCATGGTTCGTATCTACGACCATGTTGAAAACTTTATAAACTTGAAGTGACAAAATAATTGAGTTTCGTCATGAAATCCCAAAACTCAAGATGGGAGAATGTCGCAAGCCCTCATGGCAAGGCCAAAAACTTTCTCCAGATGGCTCTGCGAGCGCAGAAGAAAATATTAACTTTTTCTTTCTAAAACTTTCACGTAGATGTTGTAATGTAACTGAAGAAACGGCTTGCCGTCAGGCCCGGATTTGCCAGAAGGCAGACCGGGCAAATGCCCGGTGGGCCGGTCTGGCCTGAAGGCCGGTTGGACCGAGCCAGCAGCGCAAAAAAAATTTTTATACATTGCATGAATTTCAAATAATATTGCACAAATAATAATAATATTAAATAACATATATATGATATATGTATTAATAATATTGTTTTAATATACAGGGTGATTCAGATCATGCGTGCCACTCATTTTTTTTCGAGAATGGAGCAAATAAACGATTTGAAATAAAAAATCTAATAACTAAATCGACCCCAAGGAATTCAATAGTGATATTGTTAATTCCCGGAAGTAGCCGGAATTTGAACACAGTTTTGATTTTTTAAATGGAAACCCATATCTTATTTGGCATCATTGGAGAGGGTTTTCGAAAAAAAAGTAACTTCTACTAGAAATTTTTTTATATCTCTTACTGTTCTCAAGTTAATAGATACGAAAAAATTCTGATTATTTACTTCAATTTAACATTTTTATCAAAAATAATTCACTTATATTATCAAAATCGCTTCAATTTTTATAAAACATGGGAAGAAAANAAAAGAGTAACACTGATGCAGTGCAAATGGAACTGAAGATGCCCAAAAGAACCCAACTTCTGGTCAAGTAAGCGGCCAAAGGTAAAATACACATCCCAGTCATCCAACCACTATTGAAAACTACATTGACAAGGACGCGCTTCTCTGGAGCCATGAATTCTGAAACTGTATTAAGACATGCTTATTATTCTATTGTTATACTGACAAAAACGCATTTCTCTAGAACCATGAATTATGAAACTGTATCAAGACATACTATTACTATATTTTTATACTGACAAAAATGCATTTCTTTAGAGCCTTGAATTCTGAAACTTAGTCAAGACAAACTATTATTATATTGTTATACTGACAAGAACGCATTTATTTAGAGCCAAGAATTCTGAAACGGTATCCAGACATACCATTATTATGAGGTTGATGAGGACGCGTTTCTCTGGAACTATGAATTTTGAAGGTGCATCAAGACATATTAAATTATATTGTTATATTGACTGGAGTGCGTTTCTCTTGAGCCACGAATTTTGAAGCTATATAAAGGCATAATATTATATTGACAAGGACGAGTTCTTAAGGTGGCATACATTCCGAAACTCCACCCAGACATGCTATACACTTAGTGTCCCAAAATCACAGCCTATAATATACACATCTACAATTCTCGACAAAATAGAACAGTAAGTTTATGTTCTAAAATTAATATTAAAAGGAAGAAAATATATTTAAAAAAAACAGTATCGTAATGCGTCAAATCAATAGTTAGGAAAACGGATGTAAAGCAGTTCAACTGCCTGATGACACTTCAACACGCTTCTAACAACCACCTTTTACTTTCTTCACTCTCTAACAAGCATACGTATTATGTTTTCAGTCCTGTCTTCCCCGGGAGTGATTGGCTACATTAGGAAAGCATTTACTAACTTAAATATCATGTGATTAACACAAATGATGATACTGTGCTTATAAGTTATGTTTTACAATTATTTTTTACAATTTAAAGGCCTGGTTTCTAAGGACAAGCGCCTTATCTGGACGTCAGCGTTAAGTTGACGTTACCCTGACGCCAACAAAATACTGGTTTGTTAGCTCAAGGTCTGGTTTCTTAGGAGAAGCGTCTTAACTGGGCGTCAGCATCAAGTTGATATAATTTTGACGCCATAAAAATACCTTTTTGTTAGCTCATCGTGAGCAGTCGGTCCAACACAGACATTATCTTGCATGCGTTAATATCGTAAACAAATATTTATTTTGAATTTGCATTGATTTTGTGATTGTCGATCAGTGCTTTAAAGAACAAGTAATGACTTTGTCCAAGAAAAAACACATTATAGCTCAGTTAAATGAACAAAAAGAGGAAAAAGAAGCTATGCTTAATGTTAAAATTAAAAACTTGACTGATTTCAATGCTCTGTTGTTGGCTGTCGTCCGCCATTGCTCCTGTTGTTAACGTCACGTTGTAATTCAACTGCAGTTGATTTGGACGGCAGTTGTCGTTCAAGCTGAGCGTTCGATGACGTATGCTGTCAAACTCATAAATTAACCAATCAGAGGTAAACGTTCGTTTCAAGCTGACGCCGACGTTTCCTAAGAAACCAGGCCTTAAAGCATCAACAGTTTGTGCATAAATTCTAAATAAAAGCTTTATAAGCAATATCACACTATGACTCTTATACAGTTTAGCAGAAAAAATTTGATTTTCGAAATTGTTAATTTATTTTGAAAAGCCGTGATCAAGTCTTCAGAAAATATTTAACTTATTGTCGTATGATAATTGCTCGGGCTAAGCCTTGTGGAAACCGTATGTTAGTTTTTATCCGTCATAGCCGGTGATCGGAAATAGCTTGCTGCAGGTAGCAAAACTACTGTAGTCTCTACTTTTTTTCGTACTTTGTAGTGTAGTGCGCTACTTCTCAAAGTAGTGTAGCGTGTAGTGCGATGAAAAAAGAGTAGTTTGAAGCGATTTCTGGCAATTACTTTTAAAGTTTAGTGAAGAAACCAAGTTCACAGGCAAAAACTTTTTCGAATCTGATGGGTGCCAATTCTTCACAGGTCCTTCAACGCAAGCAATTTGAATGCCTCAGTGGCAAAGATTTTTCAAGATCTACGTCTGATGCTCCAGAACAGTAAGTTTTTTTCTTCTCATTTCGGTTGGTAGCAGTTATTTCTTTCATGTTCATTAAGTTATTTCGTCCATTATCATTGAAAATCTTCTAAACAAAGGAATCATTGGAAATCGAACCATTAAAATTGAGTCCTAGAACGTGAAGATCCGATCATTAGACATAAAGTTACTCAAGGTGTTCCGTGTTTTTTTTTATTGTTTTGCGCATTGTACTTTAGTTCTTGGAGGATTTAAAAATAACATTACTCACATTAATATCAAATATTTGATAATTTCTTATCATTTCTGAAATTAAATATATTCACTGTCTAGAAGAGCATAGAGTTTGAAGGTTAAAAGAATAAATTCGTAAAAAATGCTTTCGAATAACAAACAATCTCATGTCAAGATGAATTAACATTTCTCAACAACTTCTCATGCTTAACTAAGCCAATTTTTTATTCAAAACCATTTTGAACATTGCTGTGAATTATGCTTTCCAGTAAAGTATGTATGTCTTATAAAAGTAGTGAAGAAGTAATGATTTTTTTAAAAGTAGTTCGTAGTCGCTACATTTAAAAAAAATAGTTGTAGTTGCAGTTAACTACAAAAAAAATGTAGTTTTTCCAACCACTGGTCATATCCCTTTACTCAACAAACTTTGTTAGACGAACAAGGTGTAATTTTCTGAAACAATGTCATTAATATAGGTAATGAAATTGACTTGTAAAAAATTACTTAATTACAAGCTAATAATATGAACCGAAACGAGACAGGATAGCAACCTATATCTTCCTTGTTTAACATCTGTGTTACACTGTAAGAAAACTCGGGGAATCTTTAACTAGTATTTGGTGCAAAGATTCTCATTAAGTTTAGTTAAATGAAAGACCCCTTTATTTCAGTTACGTCATAAATTGTGAAGTAGGATCGAGAAATACTTCCATGGTACAACTGACTGCACTAAAATTTGGTAAAAGACACAAAACTTTGAAGGTGACTTTAAACTGAATGATATTTGTTTACGAAGCCATGTTTTTTTCCAATTCAGTCTCGGTGCATCGGAATGACTCATGCATGTTGCTTCAAGTATCAACTTAGTTTAGGAAACTAAATGTAAAATTAAAGTTCATTTCTTTTATGTTGCCTTTCTAAATTTATTTTTACTGTACAAAATGATTGGAGGTATGTCATAAAATAACCTACTTGCAGTAAATAGTTTTGTTAAGGTAAATTGCAATCTTGGCCTGCATTTGAGCACTTTAAAAAAACTAAATAATGGTCCAACCTTCCTCTGCTTTCATAAAAGAAAAAAAGAGATAAAATGACAATAGGTGTTCTATTTCTTCAAAACACCTACTTTTGGTGCTATAGTTTGCCTACGGTAAGAACTATCCCTGCCACAAAGTCTGAGGCCGTCTGCTGCTACGGAAACAAGAATAGCTCATTTTAGTGAGGGTAGCTTCTCCTCACTTTAGGGCTCACCCAATAGACCAAAGAAAAAGATTTCTCTCGCCGACCTGCCCTAAACAATGACTCCACACCCCTACTTAAAATATTTATACTTCGTTACCATAGTCCCCTCCACGAGTCCAGACAAATGGCTAGGGGAGTTCTCACTTTAGACAAAGTATACCTTCCACTGATATTTGGAGCTAGTGAAAATACCAAAAATAAGGTAAATTTGCGCTCCATTTTATGTAGCCAGCAAATGAATACCGACTTTTGGTGCAACACGACTCGGATTTTTAAACAGTGTAGTGGTTTTATCAAATTGAATCAAAATGCATAGGAGATAGTACTTACTTAGTATGTAGGGTAGATTGTACATGGTGGGAAGGACACTTCCATTGATTGCCCTTAAAATACAAAAAATGATGAAACTGTTGGCGAACACGGATGCTAAATCGGTGATGGATGACAAAAGTAACAGTCCAAAACACAGCAGCTTTCTTCCAAATCTGAAACATAATATAAAAACAAATTTATTATCACGAAAATAAAAGTTGTTGCCACTCTCATTCATTTTAAGAAATCTTACTTAAAATTCAAAACTTTCAAAGATTATAATTTAAAGAAACATTTACTTTTTTAAAAAAAGAATATTAGATGATGGGATGTAATTCACTTTTCTCCCCATCCCATAATTCACTTTTCGTCGTTAAAAAGTGACCAATTAAATTTCCTATTAAATTATTTTAAATTCCTAATTTTACTCAAAATATAACGCAAATTTTGTTAACATTATTCTTTTTGGTATTTTAGGACTAATTTTAATTACCTTTGTATTCTTCTGCGTTTTATGTGTTAATGTTTTTATTGAGGTCGGAATAGCCTGGTTGGTAGGGCGTTTGGTTCATGGCCAAGAGGTTGTGAGTTCGATCCCCACCTACCGAAGACTCCCCGTTCAGTAAATGGCGAATGGTGCAAGTTAAATCTGTCGAGTCACAAAGTCATTCATGTCCCAATGACAAATGATTCCTCTGGGGTACTGAATTGGATATTGATCGTTCTCTGGTTCAGGTCAAAATTACGATCTGTGAATAAGTGAATGGATATATGAATAGGTCTGTCTTATAAACATTTTGTGACGTGTGTGTGGCTGAAGTTGCATTCCTGGCATCCTCTGCTTCAAATATGTTTGGTTTCACCAAGCAGGCTTGTTGGATTAGTAATTGGCATTCGAAACAACATGTTTTTATTGAAAATAAGTGACAAGTGCTGCTTGAATTTTAAAATATTTGTTAGCGAAATTTGACATGTTTTAAGGTGTATATTATCTATATATTTATTTCTCTTTTGTGGCACCAAAGAAGAGGGAATTTCTCTATCTTAATTGGCAACAATATAATCATCGAAAATAATTCGTTTTGTTAGATTGTCTTAAGTAATTAATTAAGCAGTGCTAAGTAATAAGTTATACGCTAAGTATTTATTTAGATAAATTTTGTTAGGTTGTCTTGAATAATATTTTGAGTAGTATTAATTAGACATAAGGATGATCCTCTCTGATGTCATCACGGCGCATTTCCTGAAGTTTCTTCTGGTCCAACTGCCTTCAGCACCCTCTAGCAACACTTCGCGAAACAGTTGATTCAGTAGATGTGAATAGTTGACACTCAAAGGTATATTATGTAATGTCTTTATCATATTTTGATTTACTTCTGTAGGATTATAATCGTAGCATGAACTAATGCATCATAATTCTTCGTGATTTATTGTTTAGAAGTCGAGTTTTTATGCTCAATTTAAATCAAAATTACTAGCTTTGAATGCATGGATTTATTTTAGTGTTTTGAAATTTTTCATATCGTGCATTTTTGTGGAAACATGAAATTTTCTAATCAACTCCAAATTTTTTATTTTGCATTTTACTTCTATAATGCGAAAAGGTATTTCTGTCATAATTTTATTTAGTGTCGCTTATTTCAATCTCTCGTATAATAAAATAAACTATAAACAAGGAAAATTAAAAAAAAATCTGCATTAATAAAACTTTTTGCAAATTATTTTTAGTTTAGAAAAAGAAATGGCTCATATAAAACAAAAATCCATTTAAATATGCCTTTTATTCAGCATTGAAATAAATTTAGAAGCAAGAAAAATAGCTTGAAATGAAAATATTTGAAATATATTGTAATTAGCTCTGTAAAATATATTTTTGTTGTCATTAACAAGCAACGTCCTTAGAGAAACATGGAACTAATGGTGGCAATACTATAGTGATTATTCATTTTGTTAGGTTGTTTTAAGTAATCATTTAATTAGGTTGTTTTAAGTAATCATTTAATTAGTGTTAAATAGTTAGTTATAGGGGGAAGTATTTACTTAGAATAATTTCGTGTTTTTATAGAAGCAAATACTTAATTCTTAGTAAATATTTACATTTATTTTTGATCCTTTCGAAAATGGCAGTAAAACGGTGGTGCTACAATGTAACATACCATCAATCTGTGACTGACCTATTAGGCCTTTTAGTATATTATACGATACTTAAATTAAGGCTCGGAAGGTGCGTGAGGTAGTAGCACAGCACGTATAGGAGCATTTTGAGATGAGTTTTCTATCTTATCTCAAGGCAAAGATAAAAATAGACAGTGTTTTGTGTGATTTAATGGAATAGATAAGTTTAATGGATTAGTTTTAACTTGATTTCTAGGACATATTATAAAATGAAAAAGATTATATTGTGATTGAATTCTTTATTTTATTTAGATGTATATTTTAAAGGCGTCATATTGAGATTAAACTCTTTTTATTACCCTTTTTTGTTTCTTTAAATTTATTCCTTATTTACATATAAAGTTGCTTAAAGAGCCTTTTTTTAGGATTGTAATAATGACTAAAAGTTGGTTAAAAGATATAGTTTTAAATTAATTTGCTATTTTTCTATTGAAAAAAGTAATGTCAATGTTTATTTAATAAATTAATATCAAATTGATTTATAAACTAATTTATGTCCAAAAAGATCGCAAAAGTGATATCATTTCTAAGCAGATGCTTTAAAATGAGATTTTATCCCATCGTCTGTATTGGATGTTCATAATTTATGACCATTGTATTAAATATTTTTTTAAATTTCCCTTCATTTAATATGTATGGCACTTTAGACCATAAACACATTAATATTAGAACATTAGAGCATCTGGCACTTTGGATCATATTAGATCATTAAAATCAAATACTAAAAGCACGTTTTTTTTTTTAAATTTTTGAAATTTCAGAAACTATTCGACCGATTCAGTTCAAATTTTCTATTTTGCCCTTTAAAATACATCCTTTAAAACGATGTATAAAATTTGTATGCCTTACAATTTAACATTTTTCGACTATTATGAAAGGAAATAATCAAAAATAATAAATAATTATAAAATTAATTTTTTCTTAGAATTATCTTAACAAACAAATTTCATAATTGTGTGCAAAAATGTTTCAATTAGTTTAACGTGCTCTCGAGCTGAGGTAAAAAAAGCAAAAAATTAAAATTACTTATGAGGTCGAAACTTTTTATCACTCTTCTCCTTAAACTATTAAATATATATTTTTGGATCAAAAATCTGAATCCGTCTCAAAAGGGTGTGATTATTCAGAAAAAGTTTCTTTTTTGCCTTAAAATATCATTTGCGCAAATTATTTAGCAAAGGTTAGGCTTTCTAACAACATTAAGATTGAGTCAAAATTCGATTATCGCATCAAGAGTTATTAAATTTGTTGGTTAGTTGCTTATTTTCTGCATTGTGCATGTTTATTTAAATTTTTTTGCGTACCGGGAGCAAAGAAAAAGGTATCAACTAGAATAACTTTTTAATAAAAGTGGAGAAAACATGGAAAAAATTACAGAACTATGAAAAAAAAGGGGGGGAAGAAAAATAATAATAAAAATAACAAGAAACTGGAACGAAAAGAAATACGAAAAAAAGGAAAAAATAAATAAAAATCCGGAAAATAAAAGATATAATCTTTTCATCAGCTCACACGACTATATCCGCAAAAAGGAGTACTTTCCAGTTTCTTGTTATTTTATTTTTTTTTTATTTTTCCCCCTTTTTTCATTGTTCTGTAATTTTTTTCATGTTCTCCTTACTTTTCGAGCTTATTTTATGAATTCTATTTACTTGCTGCTTATGCGCAGTTAATTTTCTTTATTTTCTTCGTGTTTTTTTTTCCATCTCGTGTCTGTCTGTATATATATATATATATATATAGGCTTCAGAAATTATGTCGAAAATAACGCCTAAAAGTAATATAAAACAGAAATGTGAATTTGCAACAAGAAAACATGATTAAAAATATAAAATAAAACTGGAAAAATCGCACTACCCCGAGTGAAATAGAAAATAAAGGAATTAAATAAAAACAAAAACAAAACTAGAAGAACCCCAATAGCCGGGAAATGCAAGTTAGGGCGAAATGCATTTCCACATTTAATGGAGAAATGGAGGAAAAATAATATTGTTAACATTCCCGGGTATAAAGATGAGGTGATGTAGCAGAGGTGGTTAGAATTTCAGCATTATCGAGATTAAATTTTTCCCCAAGATGCAAAGAATGTGCAGCTATAGATTTATGGCATTCTTAAAAAGGAACTTATCTACCGTGTTCCTTTAGTCTAAATGAGTCCTTTAGTTTATAAACATTTGCCTCAAACGTTGCCATTCTCAGGGTTCGCTAGACATTAATGACACGTGAAGTAAACTTGTCAGAGCTCAAAAAATGTCGACTTTTATTTAAATTTTCATATTTTTTGAAGATATACAAATTTTTATCTTCCCGCTTCATTTTCTGGGGATTATTCATTTAATAACACAGAATATTAAATTAAAATATTTAATGCGATGTTAAAATTAGTTTGGCGTAAAATAATGGTTACGGTTCTTTTGAAAAAAAAAACATAATCTATATATATATTTCTTTTACACGGTGATAAAAAAAGGCCTCATTACAACTCCCCGAATGGCAACACTAGAAAATTGACCAATCATTGCCGCTAAAAATGTCACATGCCAAATCTAGCTTAGATGGCTCAACATATAGCGCTTTTAAAAACGGAAACTGAAANTTCAACATAAGATTCTGATCAAAATAATGATCAAGAAAGATCCATTATACCTGATGGTAAAAACTTTATTGGCTTCGCAAAATATGTCGAAAATAAACGCCTAAAAGTAATATAAAACAGAAATGTTAAGTTGCAACAAGAAAACATGATTAAAAATATAAGCTAAAACTGGAAAAATCGCAGTACCCCGAGTGAAATAGAAAATAAAAGAATTAAATAAAAACAAAACTAGAAAAACCCCGATAGCCGGGAAATGCAAGTTAGGGCGAAATGCATTTCCACATTTAATGGAGAAATGGAGGGAAAATAATATCGTTAACATTCCCGGGTATAAAGATGAGGTGATGTAGCAGAGGTGGCATTATCGAGATTAAATTTATCCCCAAGATGCAAAGAATGTATAGCAATAGATTTATGACATTCTTAAAAAGGAACCTTTCTACCGTGTTCCTTTAGTCTAAATGAGTCTTTTAGTTTATAAACATTTGCTTCAAACGTTGCCATTCTCAGGATTCGCTAGACATTAATGACACGTGAAGTGAATTTGTGAGAGCTCAAAACATGTCGACTTTTATTTAAATTTTCATATTTTTTGAAGATATGCAAATTTTTATCTTCCCGCTTTATTTTCTGAGGATTATTCATTTAATGACACAGAATATTAAATTAAAGTATTCAATGCGAAGTTAAGATTAGTTTGGCTTAAAATAATGGTTACAGTTCTTTTGGAAAAATTCGTAATAATATAAATTCATCAGGCTATCTAAAAAATTCAAAGCAGTACATTTTTATTTATTCATTTGTTTATTTTTTAATTTAATTTTATTTTGTTTCATTTGTTTTGTTTTATTTATTTATTTTTTGACTGCTGCTCTGAAAAACATTTTTTAGGATGTTAAACAATTCTCTTTACAAGTGAAATTTCAAAAATAGAATGAAACAATGGAACGAATGTTCTCCCCCCCCCTCCTTGGAATCAAAGTTAAGCGGTTACAAGTCAATTATTTCGAACTAATTAACGTCTCCGTCCTATTCGAAATTTTTGGAAAATATATTTCTTATTCATCAGCATTGGCACGACAGCTCTTTGTGAGCCTTGGCCTTCTTCAGAAGCTTTTCCCATTCTGCCCTTCTCCCAGCAATTTTTTTTCCAGTTCTTTACTTTCAGGATGGCAAAATCCTCATCCACACAGTCTTTCCATCTCTGTCTTCTCATCTTCCTCTTGGTCTTTTATTGGAGGGAGTTGCATTAAAGACTCTTAATGTTGTTCGTTCTGGGCTCATTCTCACTACATACCCAGCCGATCTCATTCTACTTAGTTTAATAGATTTAATGATATCATCACTATTAAAGATCTTATATATTTCAAAATTATGTCTTTTTCTCCAGTTGTTGTTATCGAGGTTAGCACCAAAGATGGTTCGTAGGATCTTCCTTTCGAAGGTTGCAAATAACTTCTCTTCCCTTTTTGTTAAAGTCCATGTCTCTGACATTAGTCAAAAGCATAAGTTTTAATTCATCGATGCAAAATCTATACTAGATATGTTTTAGTGTATACTTAAGGACATATTTCAATGAAATTTATATTTTATTTTATTCTTTTGCTTAAATAACTCAAGTTATATGATTAAATGTATGAATAGTAAATATGGTAAACGGAACTTTTCACTACTTTTCCTCATTTTTTCTGTCCCTCTAAGCAAAATAAAAGAATAAGTTTAATTTCTAACAATTTTAAAAAGTTTAATTGTTTCTATTTCAAGCCATTAAATGTTACATCCAAACAGATTTCAATTCTGGGGTTAATTAAATTATTGTCACGTTTCATTGGAATATAAAAGGAACATTAACATTCCTGTTTTTTTACGGCGAAATAAAGGAACAATTTATATTTATAATTTCTGAAAAAAAGTACATTAAAACTATTCGCTAAACATATAAATTACATCCATAAAATTACTTGTTATCTAAAAATCTAATATGTCTTATTTTAGCATGAAGGAAATTCTAAAGTCATAAAACGAACAATTTTTTGAGATGATGATTAGAAAAATAGCACGGTTTTGAAATCGTTTTACAGTTTTCTATTTTTAGCTTTTACTGTTTAACAAAATAAGGCATACCGAGCATTTTCTTGATATAACAATATTTTTTTAAACTGTGCTAACGTTGCGAGCGAGAATAAGTTTGAACGTCAAAATAAAATTGTATGTCCATAAATTTTTGCTCATTTGGGAAACAGAACAAATTGTTATATTTTTTTTGCTGAGCACATACGTATACGCATTTGCTTTTCAGTACTCAAATAAATAAGAAACAATAAAAAAACAATAAATAATTTATCTTCATATTCTTCAATCAATAATTTTGAAAAAATAGCGTGCTTAGTAAATAGTCAGCTGTTTTGCATCGAATAATTTTCATCAGCAGAATTTTTTTTTAATTTCTTAACAAGATTTAATTCTCAGGTAGCTGGCAATAATTCCAAGTTTTCTCTTAATAAAAACTTGACAATAATTTTAAAAGGAATTTTACTTTAAAGGAAATCTTAAATTAAGGTACTAGCACAATTGATGAGTATATTAATGGAAAAATTATATGCGTGGTAGTGTAAGGAATAAGATTTTGAGAAATATTAAAACTTAATTAAATCGTTGGTAAAATAGTTCTGAGAAACACGCAAGGATGGGTAATTAAAAAATTCATTTTAAGATTAATACGATATATTAGATATTGAGAAATTTAAAGATACTTAAAAATATTGACTACGTATCCCTATTAATAATTATAAAATATCTATTGAAGAAATTGATAAATACTCGTATATTATTCCGTATCTATACATACGTTTGTACATTATTGAAACTGTTGAATTACTGAAAGAGCAAACTAAAAAATAAAATTTCAAAAAGCTGATGTGTAATCACATTCTATCAGAAACATGCTTTTATGAAACTGGAAAATCGTTGAACAAAATGTTTTTTAATCAATGAGATGTTTTATTCAAGCCTCTTTATTGAATAACGAATAAATTTTTAGACGACTGAAAAAGAAACGTCATAATTTATAATTTAAATAAAAAGACTTAGCAATCGGTTATTAGCGAAAAAAAATATGAATGAAATTTTACGCCTCGTGCGCATAAGTCTCGTAAGTTATCTACGTTTAAATATTAATCGCCCCATTTACATATTTCTTTATTGTCACCAAATTTTTTTTGAAGTAATTAATTTTAACTTTTCTTGGCTTCTACTAAATAAAAACTGTTGAAACTTTGGATTTCGCTATAAAAAAATAAGCAGATTAATATGGTATTAAAATTTATGCCTCACAATTCAAATTTTTTATCCGTAATTAAATTAAATAATAATAAATAATAAAAAAATTATTAAAAATCGTTTTTTGCATGAAATTATTATTGGGTAAACGGGTTTTATGAGTGGGTGTAATTTTTTAATTGCTTAATTAGTTTTGAAAATATGATTTAAAAGGCAAAAAGTGAAATCAACATCAAGGGGTCTAAATTTTGGATTACTTTCCTGACCAAACTAGGGGGACCATATTTCCCAGATTGCTGCTACTCCCACTCTCATATTTTGAAGGTTAAAAATCTAAATTTGTAAAAGTAAATAAATATTTATTCAGAGAAAGTACGTTTTCTTTGTTCGATTTCGTAACTTAATTAATAGTTAGAACTACATAATTAGCATAAAATCACCCCCAGGAACCATTAAGCTTGACACTTAGTATGTAAAAATCAGATCATTAGAGCGAAAGTTATTCAGGGTGATATCTTTTTTTCTCACTGTACCCCAACAGAGGGATGCTTGCAGTTTCTGCCTTCAGTAATCGATTCATTTTATTACTGAAGTGTCAAAATGATATGATATTTGCTTTAGAATAAATTTAAATTTTTTATGATAAAGCAGAGATGCCTGTTGGAATTATGCGTATTCTCCAATTAGTTTTGCAGTTGTTTAGTTAATCTCATCAACTTACTGAACAAAAATCATTCCCCTTGATTTCCATGATTTTATTTATAAGCGTCGTTGAACAGCAAAGTTTACGACTACCAAAGTTCAACACCGCAGCCTTTGTCCCGAAGACAAAGGAACTCCTGGGAGAAATTTGCCTTCGCGGAGTACTTTTTTGATAAAAATAAACCGCATTTGCGTTTCATGGAGAAGAAAACCAGGAAAGCCTCCCACGCTTAGCCTGACAGCAAGGGAACTCTAATCCATGATCCGTCTACCACTGAGGATATTTTAGGTCAGCACTGTGGTCGGTGTGAACCAGGAGCGGAATTCATATCGACCAGCCACCACTGGTATTCGAACCCTGTTCACCTCATTGTTAGACGAACACTCTATCCCCAAAACCTATGAATCGAATGAAAAAGGAACATTCTGTAAAAAAATTCGGTGAATTTAATTAGCTCAGCTTTGGCACGCCGACTAATTTTTTTTTTTTCGAATAAATATGCATAGTGTAGAAATTTTATATTGATTGATTTATCACTTTTATTTTATAATAATGCATGTGAAATGGCATATCGGTTACATCAATAGTATATTTTATGATACATAATTACCTATCAGCTAAAGCACCATAAATTGTTCCTCCGATGAGGCTTCCAACATTCTGCAGAGTCAAGAGTAAACTGGGATAATGGCTATCATCACATACCATATTCCACTAGGACAGAAAAGATTTATTGTAAATTATTGTTTAAACATAAAATTTCAAACATTAATCAAGGTCGCTTCTACAAAATATTCAGGCTCCAGGAAAACATATCGTAACAGCATCAAAATCAAGTATGAAAAAAATATATTTCTGATTCAACAGTCGCCGTTAAATTTTTATTTCTTCTCGAAATAAAGTTTTATGTTTTCCGTTTTTTCTTTAAAAAATCTCAACATAGTAGGAAAAAATATAAGGAATAATACAAAATATAATATTCAAAATATATTTTAAGAACTCGTAATTAAAAAATAGAGGAGGCAGGTCGACTTATTCATCCGACATTTTAGAAATTTTCTGTCTCGTAATGAAAATTAGAGAGGGGAGGTCGACTTATAGATCCGACATACTAGGAAAAAAAATATAAGGAAATCAAAATAAAAGGAATTCGTAAAAATGTAAGGACTTTATAATTCAAAATATATTGTGCAAAAAATATTAGGAATTCGTAATCAAAAATAGAGGAGAAAGATCGACTTAAAAATCCGACTAACACATTTGCTATCTCGTAATCAAAAATAAAAGGGGAGGTCGACTTATACACCGAACTATACGGTATGTTCTTTAAAACTAATTAAGGTGTTCAGATTAAGGGAGGGATAGAATTAAAATATTGAAACACAGTTGTTCTGTGCATTCAGCTCAGTTGCCATTAAAGTTTAAATGTTAATGCAAAACAATTTTAAAGGTGACCAAACAGGTCACCGAAGACAACTAGTATATTCAATTTAAAGTTTAAAAGAAGGAAACAAAAAAATGTTGACAGCATTGAAAAAGTATCGAAATTTATTAAAAAACATTTGTATCTGCTTCGATCGCGTTCAGTTATTTATCGTTTTTAATGACTATCGTCTTAATGACAATTTAATAACAGGTTGAAATTAATATGGCAATTTAATATGAAATATGTATATTCAGCAATATTTCCTAACTCTAACAATGCGTTGTCTGGCCTCTAAATAGTTTTAGTGACAAGAATTGGACATGGATTAATGCGTAAAACACATAAAAACGAGATTATTAAATTATAAGGCGTGAAACGCGGTCAGAAAAAAAAGATCCCACACCAAGAGGATTTCTTATGATTGATAATTAAATGACAGAAGGGCATTAAGATTATAAATCGGCCTCTGTTTGATGACTCTCATCGGTAGATGTCGTAATGAACTGTTTCCAAGGTTACAGGTGTTATTTTATTCCAGACATATGAATCATTCAACACAGATTTTGGAAGGTAGGGTGGTATTCTTAATATAAAACAATTATTAGCTGCAACCGTCCCTGACATTGTGTTACATAATCTGTAAAAAGGCTTATTAACCAAGGAAAACACTTAATTTTTTTCATTACAGGGAACGTCAGATGCTGGGAAAAAATGTATTTTTGACGAATTTTTCCATTTAAAAATCGGTAGAATTGCATAAGCATGTTAATATAAAGCAACTGACATGTTAATTGCCATGTCCTAATTATTATTGATCAACAATTAATTATTATTAAATTATTATTGGTCAACAATTAATTATTATTATTTTATTATTAATTATAATTAATAAATTATTATTAATTAATTTTTATTAAATAATTACTATTGATTAATAATTAATTATTGTTAATAAATTATTATTGTTTAATAACTAATTATGATGAATTAATAATTACTTATTATTGTTTAATAATTAATTATTATTATACATTGATTTAATTTAGTTTAAATTAATTATAACAGTTGTAATAACGCTTTCAGCAGTTCACAGTTAATAAACGCGAAACACAAATATTTTCACGGAAGCTCTCTGAATACATTTAAAAGGAATACCCCCTTAAAGAAATCAACTCGAATCACTTTCGCTTTAATGATTGAATCCCGTTCAATTACAAATATTTCTGTAGCTATAAGTGATATAAAATTAGAACAATAAATTGAATTTAACTGTCACTATTGTATTTAATTTTTTATATTTTTAATTATTAATTTTTAGTTAATATTATTTATTTATTTCATATTAATTGATTATTTATAATTAGCAATTAATTATTATTAATTAACAATTAATTATTATTAGACATTGACTTAATTTAGTTTAAATTAATTATAATTATTGTAATAACGTTTTCAATAGTTCACTGTTAAAATACGCGAAAAAAAAATTTTTTCCCAGAACCTCTCCGTATACCTATTAAAAAAACTGCCTTCTTAAACAATCATCTTAAATCACTTTTGCTAGATCCCGTTCAATTTCAAAAACTTATGTTGCTATAAGTGACACAAAATTAGAACAATAAACTGAATTTAACTGCCCCTATTCTATATTTTTAATTTTTATAGTTCAAATTATACCTTTTCTGAAATGTTAATTATTAAATACTTAAACCCGTTTCCACAAAGTAGCCCGTTGTCAAAACAATTCCCACCTGTAAAGCGCAAAGTAAGACTTTTTATTATGAAATATAAGCGCAAAATGTTTAAAATATCACTACAAATATTTAATTTCTAGTTTTTTTAAAAAAACAAACAATTCAATATAGAAAATAATAATAAAAATTCATAATGAAAATAATAAATTTCTTATAGCTATGAGTAATTATATATTATTACATTGTTACTATGTAGTTAGTCGAATTTAGTAGTTAGTGGAGATATCATCATTGCAGTACTAAGCATATGATGACCGCTTCAGATACATTTTCGTTTGTTATGAAGGAGGGATATTTGACCCAGAAAATAAATTAAATAGTTTAGGAAAAATTGATTTATTATGTAAATCTTATAATAATCAACATGGCCACATTCCAAAATTCTAAAATAAAGGGATCAACAGAATGTACTTGTCCTCTCATCAAGAAAAACATTTAATTACCTTTCGGGCTGAAGGCCTAAGGTTCCTTACCTCAAGTAAAATCAAAATTAAAAGTAAAGTGAATTGTTCCCAACGGAGAGTTAGGAGCATGGGAGAGATCCATGGTTGGCCATTTATTGAAAGATAAAATAACCAAAGATAAAGTCAAACCCCCCCCCCGTAATCAATATTAAATTTTAAAATAATTTGACGAAAGCGAATAGCCACAAAGACAGTGAGAATTAGTATAATCATGTAAGTGAAACATTTTTGCGGTAAGAAGTAAAAATAAAGAGTTACGAATGAATATTCTTTTCGACTTAGTCGTGACGGTGAATTAATGAGTTTTACGTTTGTATTTATGTAAAAAATTCGACGTTACATTAATTGTTAAGAAAATAATAAAGTATTTTTATTAGCTTTTTATTAAATGTAATAAATATTAAATAATTAGTTTAATTTAATTAAAATTCGATTAAGGTTGATGAATAATGATTAAATAAATTTAAGAAATTAAAGGAAGTTGAAAAGCTAGGAAATATGCAATGCCTATTAAGGTTACTAATTCTGTTGCATTATTAATATTTATTCTGAAATTATTTTTAATTCTATTAGAGTTTTGAATTCTATTATTACAGTTAAATATATTGCAATTATTTAAACTTTAATCTTTAAATCCACGTTAAACAAACTATTTAAAACTTTTGTTTGGCAGTGGGATCCCTCTTTAATTTTATTTCTTATATACCAGGCAAAATCAGGAGGTTCAGATTTTTGTCCTTACCAAATACTGATGCTCTTCCTTTCCCAACGATATCTGCAAGCTTCGTTCTAGGCTTGGCAAAATACTGAACAACGCAATACAATATTATTGCTCATGCTTTTCGTTATTATTATCATCATGGCTAAGCTTTTTTTTTTTTTTTTTAATTTTTTTTCATTAGAAAAACGCTAAATTTGGACCTCCGATTTCTTTTTAGTTTCAGTCATTTGCATTAATTCCAACACATACTGAGAGCCCACGTATAATATTGTTGCGAATTTGTAAGTATGAGTATAATTTTGTAAATATTGTTTTGTTATTTTGTCTCAGACGAACCCTAAATAAATATTTTAAATCGAAAATTTCGAAGAAATAGCGTATTTTTAACGTAGTTTAGAGAGATAAATAACGCCTAATGCATTGCTTAAGGAAAACTCGGTTTGATGACATTTTTGCTGAATTGGCGATAATTTAAGCAACTTGGTGACCATTTTGGCGACAAACAATAGTTCTGAAAAATAGATAATAGATCGAAGCGGTATGACTTAAATTTACGAGACTTGTCAACAATCATGTCGTCACCCCACCAGGCCACGCCCACCAAGACAGCCCCAGCCCCACTGTGGAATCCTACACCCTTATAGACATTATTCCAGGTGCCCACGGGCACAATCTTCGATGAAAGAGTCAATTGTCCGCTTCGCGGACAGGTACTCTGTGTCACAGCTTAGTTCAAGTTCAAGTTCAATCATGTCGAAAGTTCTGGTGTTTCGTCGCCAAGCCTATATAAATAAAAGTGTGCCTTGCAGCCAAATCGAAGACGGCGATAGAGAAGTAATAAAGAACATGAGTCAGATTGGGATTGTAGTAGTGTACTGATTTGCGAGTCTCTTATGCACCGTCTGCGGCTTCAAAGCCTGTAATTTGGTGTGTACTAGCCGGTTATTCGTGCTGAAAATTGCTGTATTTTCGGAAATATTCTACTAATAATTTCTTAGAGTTTTAAGTACTATTTTATTCATCTCTAATAGCCACGAACCCCTGTGCTCGGTACAATATTAAAAACTGACAAGTAGCCAGCAAGGACTAATCAAAAAACTTCAATCAAACAGGGGAGTAGAGATAAAGAGCGGAGTTATTACTTAACACATTTCCCGTTCGTTTCCTGTAACGATTTCGTTCTCTATGCAGTTTTGTTTTCTTTCGCAATAGTGTTTTGAAATTATTGATTTATATATAATTAATAAAACACTACTGTGATTGTTATATAAATTTAAGAAATTAGTTCGAAAAAATCTGCTATCAACATTTTCATAACAGATGATGAATAGCATATATATTCTGGCTAA